TTTTATCCCGCAGTGAATGGGTAGGATGTGGCCTTCTACGGCTTCACATACCGCTTGGGTTGTATACTCAGAGAGAGTAGTACTAGTAGTAGCAGCAGCAGTAGTAGTAGTAGTAGTAGTAGTAGTAGTAGTAGTAGTAGTAGTAGTAGTAGTAGTATGGCACAGTCAGGCTGGTAAGGTTCATCATCAGCTCAGGGCCCTTGCCCCCTTGACACGCAGTCCAGACAGCGAATGGGACTTCTCCCAGGAAGCGCTGCCTAGTCAAACACTCTCAGAACTTTTAGGAGAATGTGAAGACTCCCCAACACTGCAGCGTTTCGCATTACCCAGATTGTCAGAAGGGCTGTACTCCTGGTAGCAAACACGCGCACTCTCCCAATGTCAGTCAACAGATTGGAAGGTACCAAACCTAAGGCACCGGGAACAATGGGAATTCGGACAACTTGGTATTTGGGATGAAAACGTGACATTTCGAAAGTGAGGTCTGCATATTTGTCATGTTTTTCCTCAATCTTTGTCAAACACACCAGTGTCAAAATGGACAGAAAATTCAATAAAAAAATCATTTCATTGGATTTATCAAAAGGGACAAGATCAGGTATGTTGGCCTGGATACGTCTGAGACTGTATACGGCCCTATTCCAAAGAACTGTGTGTCTATCATTTTCCGTGACGCCCTCTACATATTCCGGGTCGTACCATGGATGGACCTCTGTGTCAAAACTACAAGCATGGCGAAGACGGTAATAAAAGGATCGAGTCACTCCATCATGTCGCTTAAGATACAGTACTGTGTTTGTGCCAAAACGGGGCATCCACTCACAATGTGTTGGACAGTCTCATTAAATTCATTACATAATCTACATTTCATATTTACATTTTGATGCAAAATCACACACTGACGGTTTCGAGTTTGGAGTGACTGGTCCTGAGCAGCAAACAGAAAGCCTTCTGTTTCACTTTTCAGGCCAGACGACCTCATCCAGGAGAGGACTCTAGAGGCTTTCTGAACGACCACTGCACATGCAAAATTCGATGCAGTGGTCGTTCAGAAAGCCTCTCCTTGAAAAACTGAGTCTGGGCCGATTTGATATGGAACTTCGCTTGGTTGACACTCATTTCTGTAACGTCCAGCATTACAGAACCATCAACAAAATCAACACTGACATTGAGATTACGTCCCACATCCTTGGCTCGTTTTAGAAAACTGTGGAATGCCTTGTTTTCATCATAAGTCTTGACATGCTTCACAAGAGGGTCATCAGACAAATAAATGTGTTCAAAAATGCACAAAACAATTCTATCATGAAGAGCCTCCACATTAATCAATCCACGCCCTCCCATCATAATTGGTAAATATGAGCGATTGGGAGAAGAGCGAGGGTGGTAGGATCTATTGCCTGACATGATTCTTCGTGCAAGGGTGTCAATACCCTGAATTTCTTGTTTCAATCAACAACACCAAAAGAATACGAAAGGATGGGTACAGCATAAGTATTTGTGGCTTTGACTTTATTGCGAGCGTTCAGCTCTGAACTCCATATTTTCTTAAGTCTACATGTGTACTCCGCCCGACGTTTTTCCTTGATATGGGTATTCTGAAGTTTCCCCCTAATCTGCACCCCTAAGTACATATAGGCCTGACCTTCCAAGAGATGGTCAATACCTCCTCCTCCAAGTAAGCTGACTGATACTCCCTCTTTTGCCTTGCCACGTTTCAAATGAAGAATATTGAATTTGCCGAGTCCAAAGGACATGCCGATATCATTAGAAAAAGGACTCGACAAGCAGAATCCGTTTTTTGAGGGTAGATCCCCCACTGGCAATAAGTTCAAGGTCATCCATGTAAAGGAAGTGAGTAAGGGGTGTTGGGGATCTGTTCTGAGGAGGTCCCGGGTGATAACCTTCCTCTTTGCTGAGCAAAAAGCTTAAATGATTTAGTGACAAACAGAAAAGCAAAGGACTGAAAGAATCGCCCTGAAATATTCTTCTTCTAATAGAAATGGGTTCCGAATACATCTCAAGTCGAGTTGACCAGCAATTCATTAAATACTTATGTAAAACAAGTAGTCTCTCGGGGAGGTCAAAACATTCCAGTGACTCAAAATCCATTTGTACAGAATCATAAGCTTTTCTGTAGTCTATCAAATCTCATTAAAATCAGATCTTAGTTCTCGCTATCGCTAAACAAAGACCTGAAGACACCCAATTCCGGGTCACGTCAGAACGACCTTTCATCCGACCAACAGAGCGAAGTTTACCAGATCATAAAAGTGACAGTCGGAATGTGTTTGCTAATCATGCAACTTCGAAACATTGAACACGGGGTATTCCAAACAACAGTTACGGGCTTTATGACTGAATCCATACAATCTAAGCCATCTATAGCCATAACACAATGTTCTTTTGTTCAGTTTCAAAAGTCTTAATCGAGGTATTTATCATAATTTGTTTCGAAACGTAGTCGCCAGTTTAAAACTAGTCCCGTAAGGCACGAGAAAGCTGCCTTCTGATTGGCTAATGTCGACTTCTTGTCAGTCATTCAATTAGTCGGTCAAAGTTCGCGAAAGGTTGGTATGACGTGACCCGTAATGGGATGTCCTCAGATCCTTGTTTAGCGGTAGCTAGAACTAAGATCTTTATTTTATGAGATTGGTAGTCTATCCAACACATTGAAAGGTTACGATGGTAAGTTTTAGCCTCTTCAAGGATCATTTTCTGAACTAGTAGTTGATCCTTACAGCCCCAACATCCCTTTCTAGCTCCTTTCTGCTCCATGTAAACAATGTCATTGGATGCGGAGTATGATGACACAATATATGTAAGACAGCCTGTAAATATTTTGTATTGTGTATTCAGACAAGTAATAGGGCGGAAGTTTTTTGGTCACTCTTTGGGAGAAGTATTGTTCGACCTTTGCACAACCAAGGCGGAACATCCCATGTATCCACAAGAGAATTTAAACAGTGAAATAATGATGTTTGGACACAAGGGAACAGTTTCCAAAACCGGATTCGAATACCATCAGGCCCTGGCACCGTATTAGATTTGGACTTTTTAATTACATTTTTTCAGGCAATCAGGTGTAATGAAACGCAACAATGGTAATTTTATTTTTTCGTGTACGCAATCATTATAATCCTCTACCCATGGTTCCTCGAGGTTACGGCGGCACAGGTGGCCCAGTCGTCTAAGGCGCTGCGATTCGCTCTGTTGCGTCCCTTGGGCACGCCAGAAACCCATGAGCCCAGATTATATTTCTAGGTTTGTCAGCACCATACCCGTGCTCGTGGGTTTTACCGAAGTGGTAAACGTCCAAGACCTGCATCACTTTGGGCTTTCCTCCCACATTAAGCTGACACGCCGTGATATAACTGGAATACTGTCAAAAGCGGCGTTAAACCCAAACTTGACATGCCTCACAAGAGGATCATCAGACAAATAAATATGTGCAAAAATGCACAAAACAATTCTATCATGAAGAGCCTCGACATTAATCAAACCACGCACTCCCATCATAATTGGTAAATATAATCGATTGAGAGAGTGGCAATTCCCTGAATGTCTTGTTTCGTGCAATCAACAACACCAAAAGAATACGAAAGGACGGGCACAGCATAAGTATTTGTGGCTTTGACTTTATTGCGAGCGTTCAGCTCTGAATTCCAGATTTTCTTTAATCTACATTTGTACTCTGCCCGAAGTTTGCCCTTGATATGGGCATTCTGGAGTTTGCATCCCTTAGTATGTATAGGCCTGACCTTCCACAAGATGGTCAATAACTCCGCCTCCAAGTAAACTGACTGATCCCCCCTCTTCTAGTAAACTGACTCTTCCCTCTTCAACCTATTATTATTATCATTGTTGTTGTTGTTGTTGTAACATATTTGTCGGATCTCATCTTATACTTTTGCGTTCTAGATTATGACACACAATTAACACATTGTTACAGATACGGAGGCATTTCGTACAAGGTATGCATCGATGTATAACTGGAAATACTATAAAAGAAGGTATCATAGCTCAAATGTTTCATTATAAGTATTGATTTGTTCGTGTGGGGAGCGGTGGTCGTGGTGTGTGTGTGTGGGTGGGGTGGGGAGGGGGGGGGGGGGGGGGGTGTCGGTTGGGGGTTTCAAATATCATCGTCTAGTCATCCAAATGTAATTGTTAAGGGCGGGGGCGGGAGGTCAGATTAATATATTTTATCCCGGCTGTATCCAACAAACTACTTATTTGCATCGATCCTTGAAATAAGTTCAACGGGATATTTCTGAAAAAAAACCATGATAGCTTGAAGCAGGCGCAGGTTAGAGATTCAGACAACCTCACGGCGGTAGATATGTAGTAATCAATAGGCGCACCAGCGAACGCAATCATCCACTGTAACTGTACCTAGATTCGTCCTTTGTTTTAATTACACACTTACAACCCATATATGTATATTGTATAGGTCACCGGGGATCGTTATCCCCACAGGTCGTGGGAGAGTGACAATCACTAGGAAAGGCCATAGAGTCTCAAGCAATAAACATGAGGGCTGTCAATGTGACACTCCATAGAGCACACATAGACATTTCTGATGCGTGTGGGGTTGGTAATTATCGGTATTCCGGAATAGCATTTATTGCCCCTATTATTCTATGCATGCCATGAAAGCAGTTATGTCCTGAGAGTCATAGTCTTAAGCTGAGTGTAGCACTCCCTAGAGAACATATGGAAGTAGTGGTGTGTGGGTTTGGCCGTTATTGTTGGGTAGATATTCTGCTACGCAGAAAACGTGAGGTCTAGATCTCATTTTCTATCTACAGTAACTTTGCGTCCCCAGTGAGTGTATATTATAGACTGCTAACAATTGCATGTATAATGCAGCATGGATTGGTTCTGTTCTCTTTAGTGTCGTTCCAGTGGAGATCCGTCTATATTAATAATTATCGATAACTTCTCCATCATTTTTTTATTCCATCAATTACAATGCTAATACAGATGGTATAGGAGACACTTTTCTAGTGCACTATCACAAGAATAAATGATGATTTAGATACAGAATGTGATAATACACTGCTGACCATGTTGTTTACAATCCAGTCCTGGAAGGGTTTTATCAAAACAAGAGCGCACAGAAGTCGAGTTCTTCGTTTTACAAAACTGTGTGGATTCCCGGTCGTCGCCGCTTTGAACAGTATTTCAGTTCCATGTGAGTTTGGTATGTGAGGAAAGCACGAGGTGACGACATACAATATGGTTATACACCACGACAATAAAAAAACATTTATTCGTTCCTTATTATGCGTTTCCTTTTTTGCAGAGTATACAATATGTACACGTTCATCTTAAATGCACAGATACACTATATTGTAATCAAAACATGCCGTGCAGGGGTAGACACTATTTGTGATATGGAACTAGTCCGTAGGTATTTTCAGACTAGTAGGTTGTGTAACATACTGCAATTGTGGAGGAAACAACTAGTCCCTCTAAATGTCCAGGCGTGGATTAACAGACTAGTTAACTGTATGCTGTGAACACATAGTTCCTACAAATAGAACAAGTACCACTTACACATCTTTTTTGGTTCTTTATGTCATAAGTCACATTGTTAATACAATGTTAAATACATATTCCTTTCTTCTCAAATATTCATTATTAACACATTTTATTTTGAAAACATTTGTATACTACACTATTCCAAACGTCGTTGTATTAATGTTGTTATTATGTAAACACTCTTGCGGTTAAATAGAACACCCATGTACCAAAGACTTTACTTGAATATATCTCTGCAAGGATACCTTCACTGCACATTTTTTTTTAGGAACAATATTTATGGTGACAATTATTACACATTGCATGAAAGGAAGTAACTATTTATCTTTCAGCTTTCAGAGTTCAACATATATTGAGAATCCAGAGAAGTGTCGACAAGTTGAAGATGAGCAAGTTTCAGGATATACAAGAGACCAAATGATGTAGTGATCGGGGGTTCGTGTTGAACACCCTTATCACAGGATTCAAGCATTTATTTCAAAGTATAATACGGCACCAGGAAAAGCGGTAATTGACAATAATGGTGAAATAAAATTAATAACCAGACAATCCAGTGATTGACATCCTGAGCATCGATCCACGCAATTGGGATACGATGACATGCATCAACCAAGTCAGCGAGTCTGACCTCCCTATCACCCGGTGACAGAAGTCACCTCCAGCAAACTACTCTTCAAATCATGCATTCATTGTTCAGTTGTATTTGTTTTTTAAAGCCGCACTCTGAAATATTCTAGTTGTATGGCGGCGGTGAGTAATATCCGAGTCTGGACCAGACAATCCAGTGTTTGATATGAGGAACGATCCAGTGCATCCAGGTCACAAAGTGTAACCAACAAGTACTTAATTGTCAGTTTTGGAGTCCTAAATACAAGCATTAACCGGATATTTTATTTCCGGGAGAAAAGTATATATGCATAATGCGCATTATTAAAAAGGTATTATTTTTAACTGTGGGGTATAACCTTTAAGCAAGGAGCATATGGTTGACAGTGAGTCAGCCAAATCCTTTTTACCCTATCTTTTTTTAAATCTATCGTACCTCTACTGAAGTAGACGTCATCAATATTTCATTCGCGACTCGCACGAAGTATTTTTATTTGTGAGCGAAATCGACAAAATATTTAAGGTTTCCATGTTGTTTCCTACAACGCTGAGCGTTAGTCATCCTCGATAACCTGTGTATTATATCTCAGTTGCAAAAAAAACCCTGGACCCATTCGAACAGCACAGTGCTAAAAATAACCGTCCAGTCAAATTAAATTAACGAGCTATACAATATCAATTATAAGATGATATAGGGGCAGTGGAGGTGGTGACGTCATGTAGTTATATAAATGAATGTGCCAAGGGTTTTAATCATAATGGAATGGTTATATCAAAGACTGGATAATCGAGGATGAGCGTTGGTCGAATAACGGTAGTGTCATGACGTTGTATCCTTTTGGTGTGCAAGAAACCGGTTATTGTGGTTTCGGATCCCAGAGTTGCCCTGTTTATGATGTATAGTTTGCGAGCACAATACCCGTGCTCATGGTCTCATCAAAGTTGTAAGCGGCTAAGATTTGCATAAAATTGGACTTCCGTCTTACATTTAGCCCACAGACCGCAATTTAAATGAAGTACTGCCCAAGGCGGCTTTGAAACAAAATTCAGTGACTCGGGGGCTCAGGGTGTAGTTGGACAGACATTTGACTGCCGTGTAGGCGCTCTCTCTCTCTACAGGCATACAACATGGGTAGGGAGTTCTAACCACACGTTACCTCTGTGGTAGAAGTCGACGGTATGTCTGAAAGAAAGTGGTAAACTTGTTAACATATTCGCCGATATAAGCATGCAAAAGTATCAAATGACAAGACCAAACAACCGCAAACTGGCCTACAATACAAACACAAAGCGGTAAATTGCCAGTCTCGGAGACGTGGAATCGTGAACTAACTTGGAATGACAACATACGGCATACGTGTACCACATACGGTTTTCTATTCTGAACAAAAAGAGTTGGGTGTCATGACTATTTCGGGGGCTATTTTGTGTAATGGAAACCAACCAATCAATTTCGTAAAAATATTCCACATCCCTAACCTTTTCTGTTCAGTATTACGAACACATATTTATTATCCACAGATGATATCGGTTGGGATAGATCAAGCGATATCTCCCAGGAGACAATGTCATGACTAATCTATAAGCCACTTTGGCTGGTTAGCTGTACGTTTCACACTCAAGACACTGGTTATTAATGTTTACAGACTGAAAAAGTTGGAACCATGATTGTCCATGACAAGTAGACTCTCGCCCTCGTGTTTAGATTCTGTATTTTATTTTATATTTTACAAATACTGATGTATGCTTTTACATGGCAGAAACTAAGTTGTTTATTTTTTTTCCATTTGTAGATTATCGGTAAGCTGTCCCCGATAACCTTGCGAACTTAGAGTTGATTTGTGCCGGCTTTACAAAGAAAGCTAAATGTCTTAGGTGACATCAAGCAAGGAAATTATAACCATAACCGTCTTATCTAAAGTTTGCTGTCCCGTGCTCAGGATCCCTCCAACCTTTATTACGGGGATCGTCATTGAAAACAAAAATGTTTCGTTATTACGCCACACAAGTTGAATTTTACTATGTAATCAAATGCATAACACTTTGTATTGACAGAAGCTCTTTTGCTAGAAACATCTTGGTCGTACGATTGTCGTAGCCCTACCATTGCTTGAAGCATGTTGGTCGAGAACTCGGCGGTCCAAATAAATTTATTCGAATACTTACTGATTTTGCTTATAACTAGTCCGGGTAGAGATTGTGTTATGACGAGCTGAGATAATTAAACTAATATACTTTTCAAAGAATAGTTAAAAGCGAACTTTCAAGTAGTTCGAAAATTCTCTTTTCCTCTTGGTCGATCAAGTTTCTAATCCGCTTAATATTACTTTTGAAACTCACAATGAGCTTTCGGTTCCAAATTCTCTTCAGCGAGGTTAAACCGATTGATAATCTAGCTCTTCATTGAAAACAGTATGTTTATCTCCTAAATAACTTAGTATTATATATGGCAGTGTAATGTATTGTTAAACAATGATTGTAACTGTATTGCATTGTTTTTGTTGAGATTCAGTAGCAGTTCATTACATTGTATTTGGACAATGATTAGTTGTCAGGAATGTAGTAATATTTCATGTAAGCAGTGGTGAGGAAGTTATACTATTTAGATGCTCGAAAAATCTGTAAACTTCCGGAATAGCATGGATGGATGTCATGTGTTATAGAAACGTGGAATACTCTGTGTTGGATTGGCCAAGCCTTGTGTGAAATGTCTGGAAGATATTTAGGCACGCGTCCGCTCCACTTATTACGTCTGTCATCTCACATTTCGTCTGACATTACATCAAGACCAGCTTTCACCCTGGATTCCTAGCCTAGACCTATCTCGGAAGCTTAACCACTGTTGCGGCGAGGTGATTATTATTCTTGTCGGTGTTATTTCCACAGCTTTCACATTTTATACTGCCATTGAATATTGTACGACCACTCTAATGTGTACTGCCAATTCAATTGCTGTGTAGTAATTTGTGTTGATTATTTGTAAACCTAGATTTTTGTGTAATACAATTGTTGATGCCATTTGTTGATTTCACACTAAATTCTTTAACATACAGATTTATTGGGTAATATATTGTTTCAATTTGAGAATCGACACATAACAGAAATTGGGGGCTCGTCCGGGATCGAATTGAATATATATCACAAATTATTTGTCAAATTATTATATAAACATTTCATTGTCTAAAATTGTGTGAAGCCAACAATCCCTATGGTGTTTAGTGTAGATGAGTTTGTTAGCCAAACTTCTACGGAACAATTATCTGCACTCAAAAAGTCAGAACTGGTCGAATTGGCCAAACATTACAAACTTGATATCAAATCGGGTATGCTTAAGGCTAATGTCAAGGAAAATGTTATAACACACCTGTTTGGAATGATTTTTTTATGATGATGTTCTGGCCTTGATTGAAAAAAACTGATGTTATTTAAGAGGTTAGAATTTGGAAGAGAAAAAGTGGCTATGGAAAAAGAAATTCGGCTTAGAGGAATGGAAGCAGAAAAAGAGAAATAAAAAGAAGAGAGAGTTTCATACCAAATTCTTTTACGTACAGATTCTTGGGTTAACATATAGTTTCAATTTGTGCATCGACACGTAACAATATCAATTTATTATCAGTTGCGAAGAACACTCACTCTCAGCTGAATTTACTTGCAACGTCAGAGGCCCTGCTGGATCACAATGTCCACAGTACCCGCCACATTTCAACTCGATGACGGTTCCTTCTTGGTTGCGAGTAATGGACTGGATTATAGACTTATAACCGTATTTCCTCCAAGTTTGCTGAAAAAAGGAAGCAGCAAGCAGATGTCGTGTGTCACGTGGTTCAGCTGACTAACCGAACTAAATCATTCGCTCATAACGATGACTACATCACAATTTGCCAACAGTCTTGGAAGACAAAGTGAATCTGGTGAGTGAGTGAGTGAGTTTGGTTTTACGCCGCTTTTAGCAATATTCCAGCAATATCACGGCGGGGGACACCAGAAATGGGCTTCACACATTGTACCCATGTCGGGATTCGAACCCGGGTCTTCGGCGTGACGAGCCAACGCTTTAACGACCGCCCCACAAAGTGAATCTGGGGTATGGATGAATCCTACATGAATAACTAAAAGGCCCTAACCTGTATCCCCCTTTAATAGATAAATCCAGTATCTTTACCACCATATGGTATGAGTATTATTATGCATTTAGTGATAATATCCTATATATACCTGAATATGTATAATCGATACTTTACTTGAATACGTTCGGATATTTTCCATTCACCTCAATGCTATGTGGCACCCATGGATTTTCATCCTTGTTACATCACCCTTTGAGATAAACAAGTTGTAAGCTTAGCCAAATATCCAGAATATGTTTAACTAATATTTATAAATAAGCTGATCCACTGAGGTGACAAACAAGGTTGGTTCATGTGTGCTGATTATGCTATGTTATGACTTCAAGCATGAACCTTGGATGGGAGCATTCGTTGAATGTGATACAAACACAAGGGTTAAAACAACAACTCGATGACTTCATCAGCCTCTACACATATATAGGTTCATTCCCACGACGCCGACCTCTATAATCCTGCTATTGTGTAGAGTTTATACGGAAGAAGATCCCCATAGATGTTTGTTGATTCGTTGCCACATTGTTAAAGCTGCATGGATATACGTGTGTTTTGCAGCGTTCTACAGAGTATTAGTAAAGAAAGGTAGGTGTGCCATGTGGGGTTTATGTGTTCTTAGCAGTGTACTGAATGTTTAGAATGTACTACAATGGTCAAGATCAGCACTATTAAAATTTGATGAGAATGCCATGAGATACAAAGAATTCAAACAAAGTAATTTGCATTTTTTGTCGCAGGCAGTTTATTTTTGTCTGAAAAGCCTGAAGCATAATGATTTTGTTTGATAACCACAAAAGGTCGGTCCCTAACTATCGTACTTGATATATGTTCCTTCACTTCTTTGAACATGTTTTTATCTATGTGCCGATTATCTTCAAACAAATTTGTCTTTAACGGCAGTGATCAACGTTTGTAAAACAAACGAACTTGGGATGCTTTTAAAGACTTATTAAACGGTTTTTTCTCTTCTAAATACATCAATACAGATAACGAAGAGATGTATTGAGTACTCTCAGTCATAACACAAGTCTCTGATATGGTTGATTTATTATCAGAACTTTAAGACAACCTATTCCTACTAATTTTGAAATATACCGACACAAAATCGTAAACGACCCATTGAAATTGCAAATGGAGTTGGCTTTATTTGATTATAGTGTTTCGTTGTTAAAAACGTTTTATTCAAACATGGCTGTTCCGAAATGTGATATGCATATTTTGGTTGTTTTGAAATCACAACCATTCATATTAACTTGCATATAAAAATCAGTGGAGATGTTAAGGTTGGCTATATGTGGGAGACCCCTTCTGTAGTAGCAGCCGAGACACATTTCCAAGAATACACGAACATACGAACACACACATTCACCCAATTAAAATACTAAATAAATCATATTTTCTCAAATTCCAGACATACTCATATTATAATACTTAACCGAAGTAGTGTGTGTATTTTGGCACTGTTTTAAAGTTACTTGACTACCCTTTCTGGTGCTTCCTCTGCCTCACTGCATGATGATAGGACTCAATACTTGCGACCATCTGGTGAAACATACAGTTCTTGTAACAATTCTGCAGCGGGTATCGGTGATACCTCGGACGCTCAGAAACATCAGGTCAATGGACCGCCTCCGTGGTCTAGTGGATACAGCGTCTGCCCGGAGAGCGGAAGTCGTGGGTTCGAACCCCGACAGCATCATACCAAAGACGTTAAACGATGGTGCTTACCTGCCTAGCGGTCGGCACTATGGGGCTAAAACAAGGCCTGGTCGGTTCAGTTAACCTGCGGCATGTTATGTCTGTGGGCTAGCACTATGAACTCGGCATTAGTCCGGACTAGTACAAGCACGCACGCACGCACGCACGCACGCACGCATACAAGCACTTTCCCTTTAAACATTCCTGCAGCTCCAGCCTTTGGTGTCCACATTTCACAACATTTGAGGTACAATCGAGCATGCTCTTTCTACCAATTCTACCTCTCAACGAGCGCCGTACCATTCTTGGTCAGAATCTTTTTGATCAACGTTACAACATTCAAGGCCTGTATAAAGCTTTTAAAACGTTTTATGATAGACATGTGGAGGACATTTCCACATTTGACGCGTCAGAGACAAAATGATGCAATTTTTTTCACGAACCCCAGGTATCATCACTATTTGAAAGTGATTCATAAACACATGCTCATGATATAGTCGATGTCGTAAATCGACTCTGCTTGTAGCAGGGATTTAATATGAATATGGAAAGGGTTTGGTCGCTTTTATTTACATAATATCACATGCTTACCTCTGGCACGACAGCCAATCCAGTTCCCCTCAAGTCAACTGTAAATCTTCCTTTAGTTCCACACCTAGCAAGACCGTTCGCGTGAGTGGTATAGCAGTCAGCAGCTCTGCCATATTGCATTGCCGCATTAGTCCAATTGGCGAATGTGTAGTCCTTCCGCACAACAGCCATGTTCTTTGGATGAATGGAAAATAGGCCATGAATTTGATAATTGTCATAAATTATATTATTGCTTCCTTCATGTATTCCAGGCGTACTCATTACAGTATAAGAGAAATGTTCCACAGTTTTGTCATCCCGACATTAAATTTTGTATTGTTATTTGGCTGGCTATTTGGTCTTATTAGGCAGCCCCCTCTAGGATGGGGCCTGGTTAATGTGTTTGCTTGGTTTTGTATCCTGCCACTGCATTGGCTTTCTTAGCCACGTGCTCATGGCAAATGTCAGACGTCATACATGATATACCCCCTATAAGGGAATAACATTGAGGGTCAAGGTCACTCCGTGTGAAATAGGCTTAAGAAACGTGTGTACACGAATATTGACTAGCTTGGGTGTTTATGAATGTAACTTGATGTAACCTAAGTAAAAGTAAATATGATCTCTAGGGTGGGGTCTCATTCGCATCAACTGTGTGAACTTCGTATTTAGGCCAAGGTTACTAAAGGTCGAATTATGAAACATGATTAAAATTTCCCGAATTTCGGATTAATTTCTAAAAAAACGACGCGTTATCCAGTCTTCCTATGATTAGGACAATACCTCATGGCTGCGTCAAATGTTAGGGTTGCTTTAAAGGCTTTTGAAATGGCTTGAAAATGGTTTCATTCAGAAAGTATTGGCAATGTCTTCATATTTGTCCCCCCACCTAAGTTTGCAACAACTATTGTTCTCGCATGCGATTGAAGGTCAAGGTCACTCAGTGTGAGATAGGCGTTAGAAATGCTTGTGTACAAGATCACTTGAGTATTGATCATTTGACAAAACGCACTATACATTATCTCTAAGGCAGGCTCTCAAACGCATCATGTTTTGGGTAACCTCCAAATATGGCCAATGTCAAGGTCAAACTATAAAATATGGCAAAATATTTTGTAATAATTCGTCAAACATCCGTATGTTTTGGAATAATTCTTCGGACATCTGTATGTTTTGGAATAATTCGTCAAACATCTGTATGTTCAAATCATTTAAGAAGACCTAATAATTAAATCAATACATATGGTTGTGTCACATGCCAAGGTTGCTTGAAAGTCAGTCATTTACGAAATTCTTGCCTCTAGTTACATTCAGGAAGTTAATGTTAGCATTGAATAGAGATTTTACATATATAACATCACCTAAATTTGGTCAAGGTTGAGGTCCCTCGGTGTTTTGTAGATTTACCAATTGGACTTCCTGTGTCAAAGTTATATTAAGTATTTTATAAACAAGGTCTCTAGTGCGTTATAGTTTAATACAATGAAGATCATAGCAGTTTTGACTTGAATGAATGGGACCCGTGAACCAAGGATCATTAGCGTGGAGACACTAGCAGCACCAAGTTGAATTCCTGCTTAAACAAGAAAACAGCCTTATCACTATCCCTAGCCATGCGGCACATTAGAATTTTTGTTTAATCGAATAGTAGTGAATAACATGGAAGTTAATGTTAACTATAAACCAGAGCTAGGCACTGGGGTGGCCTTATGTCATGAGAAAATCTGATGGCACACGTTATGCACTACATAGAAAAATACATGGATCAAGGGCCTACCTGTGTATGCACAAACATAAAAACAAGTAGCAAGCGATGTAACTCTGGAAAAATATATTTTACGTCACCAATTTTCGAACTCAGTTTTAACAAGATAAGCACACACACTTTCATTCATGAAACTTATGGTGTTTTTGAGAAAACATATCTGAATATCACGCAGTAGGCACTGAGTTGAAAAGCGGGGAGCAAGGGCTAGAACTGTGTAAAGGAATAGTTAACGGCACCAATTTTTTAACTCGTTTAAGATGATGACCAGTAAGATCAGTGTGTAAAAATCCATTTCTCTAACTTGCATAGTTTTTGAGAACATTTGTCCCCATTGAGAATCGGACGGACGGTCGGAAAGATTAAGTCCGTTCCTCGATCCCCCGACCATCTTCCCATTTCCTAGTAATTATTACGTTTATCACCATATATTTACAGGCATAAAAATAAGGCCTTTTATATAATAAAATAGATGTTAGATACCTTAAATATCTAACTAGCTTTGACATGTTGTCAGTTTATTGGGCACGGACGGACAGTCGTCTAATGCACAGTAATTCCCTGAGCATAGCTTCGTCCTTTAGGTAAATTAGAAACCCATGATCGTGGGTTCGAATCCTAGAATCGTCCTGCTAACATTTCCAGGTTTGTCAACACTTTACTCTTGCCCGTGGGGCTCGAAGCGGAAAATACGAGGGGCGATTGTTAAGTTGTGAGCCTACCTCTGAAGGAGTGTGGTACGGCTGAATTCCTTTGTGGTGGTGATAGACTGATCAAGTACATTGACATACCCAGGAGGATTGTTGTATTGGACACATTATTTAGTTCAGTATAAGCTATTGACTGCAATGAGATGACTTAAAATGGAGAAACAGGAAAAGCGAGCTGTTATCAAATACCTTTACATGAAAGGCTTAACACCCAATGCCATATATGAGGATATGTTATCCACACTTGGGGAAGATGCCCCGTCATATGCAACAGTGAAAAGATGGGTGGCAGAGTTTAAACACGGGCGATCGAGCACTGATGATGAACCCCATCCTGGTCCACCTGTTGTGTCTTCAACACCTGAAATGGTACAGCGAATCCTGGACATAGTCATGGACGACCGACGAGTGACACAGCGACAGATAGCCAACTTAGTGGACATCTCTCAGGAGCGAGTGCATTTCATTCTGACAGATATTCTAGGAATGCACAAGGTTTCTGCTCGATGGGTCCCCAAACTGTTGACAGCTGATCAGAAACGTCAAAGAGAGAATCACTCAAGGGAGAACCTCAAGGTTTTTGAGGGTGATCCAGATAACTTTCTCAAACGATTTGTTACAATGGACGAAACATGGGTCCACCACTTTGAGCCTCAATCAAAACCAACAGTCTAAACACTGGAAACATGTCACATCTCCTACTCCAAAGAAAGCAAAGTCTGTGCCTTCAGCTGGGAAAGTCATGGCATCCCTGTTTTGGGATTCTGAAGGTGTGATCATGGTGGACTGGCTTCCTAAAGGCCGTATTGTTACAGGGGCTTACTATGTGGAACTTCTGAGACAGTTAAGAGAGAAAATCAAAGTTACGCGACGTGGAAAGTTGACGAAAGATGTGCTATATCATCACGACAATGCTCCAGCACACACATCACTGATAGCAATGGCCAAAATCCATGAGTGTGGCTTTGAACTTCTCCAACATCAACCTTATTCACCTGTTTTGGCTCCGTCGGACTATCATCTGTTCCCACAGTCGAAAAGGCATTTAGCTGGAACTCATTTCCAGTCAGATGATGACGTCATTACAGTGGTCAACAACTTTTTGAGAGACCAAGAAGTTGACTTCTACCAAAGTGGCATAATGGCATTGCAACATCGCTGGCAGAAGTGTGTTGACCTTAAAGGGGACTATGTCGAAAAATAAAAAGCTTTGGTATCAAACTGACTTTGTTTTCTTTGTTAGGCTTAGAACTTATCAATCGCCCCTCGTATCTCTTGGGGCGACCTTTACACCAAGCTGACACCCCGTGATATGACTGAAATGCTGTTTAAGTGCGGTTCAATACTAACTCACTGTTATTTAAATACCTCTAACTGTATAAACCCTAATTGCACCCGTCTTATGTTACTCACCTTGACATCTAATCTAATCTTTTGGAACCACACAGATCCACCTTTGTTTGGCCATGTGTATTCGTTCGTACACCCAAGTGATTGTTTGGCAGGGTAGAAGCCATCGTTTTCGTGGAGAAGCGTAACATATTCCTGAGGATTTTCTGTACTCATGTCGTGGCAGTATATCCGGGTTTTGTTGAACGGATGGCTCCCAAGATGGAGCCAGTACTCCCCATTTGGGCTGTTTGGTTGACACTGCTGCACATCAGAGCACGACATAGCCACTGTTGAAAAAATAATGAGAAAGCCTACTAGTTCGCAATTTGCCGTTGAGAGTTGCGTCTCTTTGAACTTCCTGAAACTACGATTGTAGGTTCGAACCGCGGTTCGCCCTGGTTTGTGTGCAACGTTATCGCGATCATGGGCTTCATGAAGGCTGTAGACGCCCTCGACCTGTGTGATTTCGGACTTTTCTCGTACATTACACGCTGTGATAAAACTAAACTATTGTCCTGAGCGGCGGTAAACCCTCACCCAAATATACACATATTCAGCAAAGTGCATCTTTAATTATAAGTGATACGAGTGAGTTTTGTACCGATTAAAGTAGTGAGAGAACGCCTGGAGGAATTGTTGTCGTTCTTTAATAGGGAACATATACTGTGAAGGGTTGATTAGTGGATAACACTTATTATTCAGGTTACGAACGAAAGGTTTCCTGCTTATAAACATGTATCGCAAGGTGAACGGGTTAAAAAACGAGTCGAGGTCAGTTGAAGTAATTAATGATTTTTACACCTTCACGCTTTCCAACAATTTCAAACAACCATCTCCCCCTGGGATTGTGATGAAATCTTTGAAGGAGTCCAGTAAATGAAACGTGATAGTTTGACACTGGTATCAAATCCTACACTAAATTAAATTATCTGTCATTGAAGCGACAGCAAAAAACTGCAAATTATAAGTTCCCGAATCGCAAAAGCCACCAGTTCAGTTGTTGCGTATTCTATATACAAAGTAAAATTAACAATATTTAACAGTTTATAAGTTTTCTCCAGAAACTAAACCTACCTACCTTTTAACCGGACACTTCAGAACAGAATAGGGCGCCAGTTCAGCACATGTCTGATTTCAGCGATTTTATAATGAATGATGAACAGCTTATGAGTTCAACTCTACCCTCACTTGAACTACTACATAACAAAGGGCATCAATTCGGAACTTACGTTATGCCTCTCTCTCCAGGAATAGCGAGTGAGTGAGTGAGTTGGGTTTAACGCCGCTTTTAACAATATTCCAGTTGTATCGCGGCGTGTCAGCTTAATGTGGGAGGAACGCCCGAAGTGATGCAGGTCTCAAACGTTTACCACTTCGGTGAAAGCCACGAGCACGGATATGGTGCTGACAAACCTAGAAACGTAATCGGGATTCGAACCCACACTCATAGGTTTCTGGCGTGCCCAAGGGACGCCACTCTGCACAGCGAATCTCCAGGAATAAATACAACTCATAGGTTATACTCACATACGCTCCAGTCCATCAAAGACAACTTATACACAAGACAGGCCAGCCTCGTCACAGACTGAAAAATGGCGTCGATTGGCTTCAGTCGCTGCCAAAGTAAGTACTGAACATCTCTTTTTAGTGTTCCGTATTTGTCACATGTCACATGTAACAATGCCTCATTTTGATTCTTTAACAGTCTGATCTGACCATGAACTCATGTGTGTCGTACTCGGAAAAATACCGAAACTTACGAGCCGCTTGTGTAGAATTTGTCTTTGATGGACTGGAGCGATTAAAACGTATGTTCGTATAACGACACGGAACGACAATAAAATAGGTAACTGTAGAAGGGTTCAGTTAGGTCTCAGTCACACATTCAGGAGTTTTACAGCCGTCCTTGATAGGACCATTCCCAATTAAAATGTGTCAAAAGTCTGATCAAGGATCCTGTGATTCGTGGCGGGAAATTGACAATCAGATTTTGTTCAGGAAGCGTCCCGATTCAGCCGTTTCCAGCCGAATTCGTCCCGATTCTCCCGTTCTCAATCTGAATCTGATCTGATCAGTATCTTCCGCATGGTGAAAAACGACCTAATCTGCTCCGACAGCGTCCCGATTCTCCCGAATGCAATCCGACACAGATCAGACACTGACCGGACAGTGCACCGACAAAGACGGTTCGCATTCGGCAAGATCTGGACGCAATCTGGACTCAGTCGACAAAAAAAGGGCAATGAACAATTTATGCCCGATCCACAGGACACCGCCCAGACAACACGGGAAATTGTTACGATTTTGATCCGATACAGCAGAATCTGTCAAGACATAGTGACGATTGTAATCCGACGAGACAAAATCGGAGTTTTCCCGAAAAAAAGGTTTCCCGAATGTTACGGGACGCACCATACTGTCGGAAGTGCTTGGCCGACCTCTCTGGACCTTTCCTGATCCGTAGGACTCTGTTACGAAAGTATACGACTGCGTTCAGACAATGATAGGACATTCCAGATCATTAAGGATAGTTATCCGACTTTTTCACTTTACGTGTCGTCGCTCTTTCTGATCTCAAACGGGAGCCATAATCGGCACTGTGTGAACCTGGCCTTAAACCCAAAACGCAGTTACGACAACATGTACTGAAATTTGGTATGTGTTGCTATAGTCCTCGCCACTTGAAATAGAATAGCGAAACATCGCGATGATTAACGCATGTATGCTAAATTAATGCTTATAAAGTGAAACCATTCAGCCGATAAGGATTATTACCTACAGTTATGCAAAAAAATTGCAAAGTGCGCTTTCCAAGAAATGTCCATTTTCTTAGCGATAAACATCATCATTGAATATACCCACTGTTATAGGTAATGTCTAGGCCTACCGTAAAACATACCGTATATATAATGTATGTCTATGTCCGTGTGTGCGTGCGTGCGTGCATGCGAGCTTACCTACGTACAAAGAATCTTTTTATGAAATATGGAAAGTATCATGCATATATTTATATATATACAGAACAACAAAAGTTCCTGTGACATTGAATAAGATTAAATGCAAAGTTTTGTTTTTAACCAAATCTGAAACAATTCCGGTTTGCAACAGATAAAAGACTCCTGTAAGTGTTCAAATGGTTTAATTTGCCATACTTACTTCAGAAAATGCGTGGTTTCATAAACAAAAACATGAACATGCCAAAATGTCAATTTACAAATCAATAGCGTGTGTATCCACCTTTGGTTGCGATGCAAGCAACACATCTTCGTCTCATGGAATGGACCAGGCGTCGCACAAAGTCCTGTGGGATAACTGTCCATATCTGCTGGAGCATGTTCCGAAGTTCCTGGAGTGTCTGTGGAACACGTGGTTGACGTCGAAGGCGCCGATCCATCTCATCCCACATGTGCTCGATTGGTGAGAGATAAGGGGAGCGAGCCGGCCAGGGGATGACATTCACGTTGTTTTGTTGAAGGGAATCCTGAACAAGTCGAGCAATATAAGGCCGGGCGTTGTCATGTTGAAAGGTAATGCCTGGGCCATGACGACGCAAAAAACGGTAGAACAACAGGGCCGATGATCTCGTCGCGGTAGCGCTGTCCATTGAGATTTCCCTCTACCACTATCAAACGGGTCCTCTGTCTTGCTGTAATCCCACCCCATGCCATTACGCTGCCTCCCCAGAACCGATCTTCTTCAATGACATAATGATTGACATAACGCTCACCTCGAAGTCGGTACACTCGAATCCGCCCATCGCTGTGGCTGAGGTGAAAACGAGACTCGTCAGTGAATAGAACTTGTCTCCACTGCATGGCCGTCCATGGGACGTCTGACGGGTCTTCTGGCGACAATCCCTGCACATCTGAGGCGACGACGTACGGTTTGTGAAGATATTCGTTGAAGGCCAGGGATGCTTCTTGCAGTCACTGTTGCAAGCTGGAATCGATTTCGTAGGTGTGTTGTTCGAATCCAGTTGTCTTGTCGATTATTGGTTACGATCCTGCTTCAAGCATACCAATGGCTCGCAAACGCTCATTTTCGGACAGGCGTGGCATTTCGTAATGTTGAATAATTGCGTAATTTTGATGTTTTTCTGAGTGGTTTTTGTCAGCACGATGCTAAACAATGCATATGGAATCCCGTTAACGCACATGTTTTTATACCCATTCTTTGAGTAGTGAAATTCATGGGGCTTGCATAAAAGTCACCTTTTGCATGGAATGCATGCTTTTCTGTAGCAGTTGCGTTTTTGTGACTTGATTCCATACATGTACTACAATATTGAAAACCAAACTTTACTTGTTTGAAAATACACTAAAATATTGGTGTCACAGGAACTTTTGTTGTTGAGTATATGACAAATACTTGATATTTTTCACATTTCATAAATAGTTTATATGTGCACAACACATTTCAAATAAAACACACACAAATAAAAACACACTTTGAATTAATTTAGAAAGATTGTATTTCCCAGATTTCTGATTTTTTTTCTACACTATTTAGCGACACAGGGGAACTTAAAGAATTTAGTCTTTTTAAAAGTGCCAGGAGAAGGAAAATAACTTAAATATGGTATAATAATTGAATATTAAAATTTATGAATAATACTGGAATGACTGTCGTCCTTTATACTCACCCCAAGGCTTGCAGGAGTAGTCAGTGTCGTTCTTTGGTTGACAGTACTGGGACTCGAGGCACGTGTGGTTCATGCACACTCCGGCAAGTCTCTGGCAGGCAACACATGCATGGTCATATGAGTATATAATAATAATTCTTCCAACATCAATAATCCATTGAAAAAGTACAAATCAAACAAACAAACTTAAAACCCCATGTTTTCATAAAATAATTGCCTATGTCAAAAGCCTTGTTTCCACCCGTGTATTACAGCGATCGTGGCGCTACCCTGTGTGGAACACGAGTTGTTTCCCTTTGATGAAAAGGCGATATCCAACAAGATCGATGTTCTTATTTCGAATGGCTTCACAAAGATGGCTAACTGGTCCATCAGATTACAAAAAGATTCGAGATTTCACCCCTGACAGACACAAAATAACCACGGCAAAGACGCCACGGTAAACCATTTCACCCAACACAGTTAGGATTCTTATTACTGCCTCATCTTACACTAATATATTCATACAGACTAGGCAGGACAAAGTAACACTGAACATCGCAGTAACGTGAAACACTCCGCAGGGGTCGTCTGGAAATAACACTTCATCTCAGTCACTGCCATAAGACTGCCTCCGTGGACAAGTGGTAGATCGTCTTCCCGGAGAGCGGGAGGTTGCGACATACAACGAAACGTTAAAAACTTGTTGTTAACCTGCCTGGTGGTCGGCATTATCGGGCTAAAACAAGGACCGGTCGGCTTGGATGCTGTGTCTGAGTGCGGCATGATATCTCAGTGGGCTAGCATTTGTCCGGACAAGTACAAGCAGCCCCACACATGCACGTCCCTGTATAATAATCTTGAACGCGACGTTAAACACCTCACCTCACCTCACCTCACCTCACCTCACCTCACCTCACCTCACCTCACCTCACCTCACCGCTATAAGCGTTCAGTCGTTCGAGATAAAAAAAAAACAACAATGAACTATATATGTATAGATAGTACTTTGGCGGGTTGATTAAAAACTTTGAACCACTCCGAAATATTTGACTTCACTTAGTTTTTGGAACAATTCGACAGGCGATGGCAACGACCACGTTTTCGGAACCCAGATGTTGATTTTGGAGAACGTTCTCTGATGGGGCTGTCGATATGTGCGATAGTCCTTTCATATTTTAGATCAGAAAAGTAGGTTTGAAATGGCAAGGGTGGAAAGTAGGCTTTGATATAGGCATGTGGACACTCTTGCCTCGGGAAGATCACAGCTGTCCTCAACATTCAAACTACATTCCCGAGGTCTGCATCGCGCCAGTCCGCAACATTCAACAACATTCAACAACATTCCACCTGTATCTCTGCGGCAATACGCAACATTCCAACTATATCCCTACGGCCTGTATCGCTTTGTCCACAACATTACACAACATTACACAACATGACACAACATTACACCTATATCTCTGCGGCCAATATTGCGCCAGGCCTCAATATTCAACAACATTCAACCTATATCTCTGCGGACTGTATTGCGCCAGTCCTCAATATTCCGCCTATATCTCTGCAGCCTGTATCGCGCCAGTCCGCAACATTCTACAACATCCCACAACATTCCAACCATATCTCTACGGCCCGTATCGCGGTTGTCCGCAACATTCTACAACATTACACCAACATCTCTGCAGCCTGTATCGCGGTTGTCCGCAACATTCCACAGCATTACACCAATATCTCTGTACGCAACATCCCACAACATTCCAACCATATCTCTACGGTCCGTATCGCGGTTGTCCGCAACATTCTACAACATTACACCAACATCTCTGCAGCCTGTATCGCGGTTGTCCGCAACATTCCACAGCATTACACCAATATCTCTGTACGCAACATCCCACAACATTCCAACCATATCTCTACGGTCCGTATCGCGGTTGTCCGCAACATTCTACAACATTACACCAACATCTCTGCAGCCTGTATCGCGGTTGTCCGCAACATTCCACAGCATTACACCAATATCTCTGTACGCAACATTCTACAACATTCCACAACATTCCAACCATATCTCTACGGCCCGTATCGCGGTTGTCCGCAACATTCTACAACATTACACCAATATCTCTGCAGCCTGTATCGCGGTTGTCCGCAACATTCTATAACATTACACCAATATCTCTGCAGCCTGTATCGCGGTTGTCCGCAACACTCTACAACATTACATCAATATCTCTGCAGCCTGTATCGCGGTTGTCCGCAACATTCCACAACATTACACCAATATCTCTGCAGCCTGTATCACGGTTGTCCGCAACACTCTACAACATTACACCAATATATCTGCAGCCTGTATCGCGGTTGTCCGCAACACTCTACAACGTTACACCAATATCTCTGCAGCCTGTATCACGGTTGTCCGCAACACTCTACAACATTACACCAATATCTCTGCAGCCTGTATCACGGTTGTCCGCAACACTCTACAACATTACACCAATATCTCTGCAGCCTGTATCGCGGTTGTCCGCAACATTCCACAACATTACACCAATATCTCTGCAGCCTGTATCGCGCCAGTACGCAACATTCTACAACATTCAACAACATTCCAACCATATCTCTACAGCCTGTATCACACCAATCTGCAGCATTCCACAACATTCCACCTATATCTCTGCAGCCTGTATCGCGCCAGTTCGCAACATTCTACAACATCCCACAACATTCCAACCATATCTCTACGGCCCGTATCGCGGTTGTCCGCAACATTCCACAACATTACACCAATATCTCTGCAGCCTGTATCGCGCCAGTACGCAACATTCTACAACATCCCACAACATTCCAACCATATCTTTACAGCCTGTATCGCACCAATCTGCAACATTCCACAACATTCCACCTATATCTCTGCAGCCTGTATCGCGCCAGTTCGCAACATTCTACAACATCCCAGAACATTCCACCTATATTTCTGCGGCTCGTATCGTGCCAGGCCGCAACATTCCACAACCTTACAGCAATATCTCTGCAGCCTGTATCGCGGTTGTCCGCAACATTCTACAACATCCCACAACATTCCAGCTATATCTCTACGGCCTGTATTGCGGTTTTCCGCAACATTCTACAACATTTCACCAATATGTGTGCAGCCTGCATCGCACCAACCCGTAACATTCTACAACATCCCACAATATTCCACCTATATTTCTGCGGCCCGTATCGCGGTTGTCCGCAACATTCTTCAACATTCTACAACATTCCACAACATTACAGCAATATCTCTGCAGCCTGTATTGTGCCAGTCTGCAACATTCTACAACATCCCACAACATTACACCATTATTTCTGCGGCCCGTATCGCGCCAGGCCGCAACATTCCACAACATCCCACTACATTCCACCTATATCTTTACGGCCCGTATCGTGGTTGTCCGCAACATTCTACAACATTACACCAATATCTCTGCAGCCTGTATCGCGCGAGTCCGCAACATTCTACAACATCCCACAACATTTCACCTATATCTCTGCGGCCTGTATCGACAAGCATGGGTACCAGGGACATGTTTCGCCCCAAGAACTACACGGGGAAACTAATGAAAGACATGGGTTTTGAAGATTACCTTTGGCCAAAAGTTGACTTCGGAGAAAACGTAATTGGGTGCATGGACTACTTCGGTTCCTTCTGTCCCAAGAGTGACGTCATTGAGTTCACAAGCACCAGTTCTGGTGTTGAAGTTGAAAGAACCACACAGCGTAACACCAAGGCATAAGCGTGCACATAACATGACTCCATCTGTCATGGTTGAAAATAATTCTTTTCCAGGAAGTCGCTGGTTTTGCCGCAGTTGTGACAGATCGTCTACCTTTGAACACATTTTCCTCACGGATACCGGAGAAACACAATTCATACAAATGACCGCAATGCTTATAACGTAGAAGGAACCCATTCTATACGGGGTTGTTTCAAATTGTTGCCTGTGCTGTTGGGCAAGCATACACTGTATCCGACATACAGTGAGTGGCAAACGTTTTAAACCATCTGTACAGATCCCTACAGAATCAGTAATCAATTAACTTAAGAACCGTAGCAGGTTTACTGAATCATGAGAAGGATGTATAGTTAGTATAGTAACTCCCTATTATAACATACTGGTCCTCATCATCAAAGTAGATTGGGGGTTTTCTGAGAGCGCTCCAGAGTTTATTCAGGTATCACAAATGAATATCACCAGGGGGATGTTCATTGTCAGTTTAATAATTAAAGTCTTAAGCGTTATGAGAAGGTTCTTAAAAACACATTGATGGATTACTGGAATAATGCCATCATACAGCAGACAGCAATATTTTTTTATCAGAAATCTATATATCTATACAAATGCAACATTTAAATCAATGCCTTTATCACAAAGGAGATGCTTCACTGGGAAGACCTGAAACGCAAGTATTATAAAACCTCCCAGTACAAGCCAATTGGACCAATACATGCAGCTAAATGAGAGCTCTTGTCTTCCTAGTTCTAAAACACTTAACTGAAATAGTCGCAGATTGTTGTTCTAAACATGATGTATTTAAGGAGGACAGTAGGACCTGGTGAGTAGGCCTCTTCGCAGTTGAGCAGTAAGTGATACCAACTGATGTGTGATAAGGTCCATGACGTCCTGGAATTTCTATTGATTAAATTTAGGGTCCCTTTGATGTATGATTCCTCTGACGTCTTAGCATGGGACACGGACATAGCTACTGCGTCTGTCGCCGACAGTATGGTGGACAATAAGGACAGGGTCCGTCTGATGGTGACATTCAGATGAACTAGTTCCCGATCATCAATAACAGATGTAGTGGAGGAAAGCTTCGGGGAGAGGGTCGCAATGTTACTGTCCAACCTCTGAGAAGAGACAATGGTTGACATCCCATGTGTCCCCAGCGATGTTGAACCGGGGCATAGATAGTTTGTCCTTCTGACGACGGAAGGCGGCAAAGGCCAAATCCAGGTTCTTTGGGAAGTCCGCCATGATCGCCGCGGGAGGCAACGTGATTGGAGAAGCCGCGTTAGTGGACATCGCAAACCCCAAAAGGAGATCATCCTCGGTTGTACTACGAGGAAAGTTGAGTGTGTACGCGATCCAAGGAAGAATCAGAGTAGGATCCCCAGGGCGTAGCTGATGGAGGTGAAGCCTGGCTGTCAGGGATAGCATCCGGAGGAATAGGCCTGTTATCGAGCCTGTCTCTAACCGCAGTACCTGGAGTCGTCTGTAATGCAATTGTGGTTTAGCATCGGTAGGTGATACCCCCGACTGTTCGGTGCGTTGCTGTAAGGCTGCCGACAAGGACTGTAAAAGCGATCCCATCTGTGATGCCGAGAACACGGTCTGATCTCTATGACCCCATGAAGTTGGTAAGGGATTAGTCGCTGGAGGAACCGTACTAGTGGAAGGGTCTGTCACAGGAAGTTGAGAGGGCGGCGTTACGACCAGGGAGTGCGACATGTCGGGTGATCACTGATCTGGATCGGTATCAGTAGGGGACGCGGAACGTGAATGAGAGGAAGGTCGATGTCGATTTCCTGTCGATCCTCATGTCAATGTCAATCTCGATGTCGATGTGTAGGAGAAGCATAGCGATAGTAATCAGGCATTGAAGGGTATTTAGAGTAGGGCCGATATCGATTATCCCCATATCAATCAGGTGTGGGAAAAAGATAGTATCGCATAGGCTGGTATCGATGGGATGGAGATGGATATCAATCCTAGCCGAGGGGCTTGTCGTATCCATAATTTCGTGATGAGTTTCGATAGGGATGGTGTTGAGAGCCAAGAGTCCAAAGAACGCGATCGAACGGGAGCGGCCATGGTCATAATTATAAGATCAATCCATGGAGTGATGACGGTCCGAAGATTCAGAATTGGTCTCATAATGACGATCTCCCTCTGCTTGGAGGAATGCCTCGATGTAGAAGTCCACTCCCGTGATGATCAATGTTGACGAGAACGATCCGAATGTCGACCCTTGGGAGTATCGATCCTTAGACTGACGACTCTTAGAAGATCGACCCCGCGACCGACGACCTGAAGAAGAGCTTTCCTTTGGGTCCCTTTGAGGCTCGATCCTGTGAATGTCGAGCCTTAGGATGTGACTCTAGGGGTCGATCCTTAGAATGTCGATCTGTATCTTGATGTCGATCGTCTGCTGTGGGTCGAGAGCGCTCTCTACTTTTTCTATGTCCGGTAGACGACGCCGACATCGTATCAGAATATGACCCCAGCACCCCATTGCTTGTCCTAAAAGGTGACTAAATTGAGCAACCCGTTTGCCGTGGGTTGCGTCTCTATGCCGGTGGAGAATGGGGAGTCTGGTAGATTGGGGATCTTGTGCCAGGAACAGGTTTCCCCTGCCCAACACACAACTTTGACCCTGACTTTACCCGAACAGGTGCTAGAAGGTCAATCGGCTGGTCATTCCAAGCCCTGTGCATAGGATGTTTTTGCACATACATGTATTTTATTTTTGACAAATGTATTGTTTGGTCTTTGGTCGCAGAATACACTAATTATTGATGTAATAAATCGTCTGGAGTCCTATGCCAGAAGGCGGTGGCTCATGGGCCGATCTGGTAATGTAGACGGCTGAATACTGTATTGCTATGGGCCGAACTAGCCCGGCAATGAAGGTTTTTAACAAATAAAGCTAATCATGTCATATTTCGAGTACAACACCCCTGTATCCCTGGTATTTGCATGCTGGAGATCCGATGCAATAAAATTCCATGTTCAGACACGATGGAGGGTGGGCTTCACCATGTCCAAACAATTGTTGGGTTCCAATCGTCCAAAAAGAAGACATTTATAATTTGAAATTGAAACTGATGATGTATCTCAACATATTGATTCCTGTGCGTGATTGATTATAATAGAGATCCTTGGCAAGCAGACAATCAATCTCAATCCGTTTGTTATATCAAAAGTATTTCTGAAACTTGTGGAGAGGTAAAGGTAAAGACCTGTCAAGGTCCTTCTGGTTGAATTCACAAAGAGACAGCAATTTCCCAATCTACTATCTGTCTAATTGTTTGCAAATAAGGACATTGCTGTGGCTGTGCACAGTCCACTTAACTCTTGTCGCGGCATTGTGCCCGACTGTCTGTCTGATGTGTCAGAGCAAGAAATTGTAGCAGAATTAGGAAAGCAAGGAGTTTCTGCAGATAAAAGGTTTACAAGGAAGCAAGATGACGGTGTTATTTGAACAAACACATTTCTGTTTATCTCCTCCCGTACTACGCTTCCTGAATCTCGTCTTTGATCAAGTTTGAATTGTGTTTTAACACTCACTCACTATAAGGGGCTGTCATGGTATGGCTGGACTATCCCTAGCTGATAATAAAACATCACTCATTCACTTACTCCACAAGAGTGCTCTGAGAGCACAACATCCCCCGCATGAATTTTTTTAACGTGGTTATATTTTCTTTGTATTTTTCATGAAGCTCCGTAAAACAGAGGCAGTAACTCTGTCAAATTTGGTCGAAATGAAACGGGACTGCGATATGCGTATCATCAACATGTCGACATCTTGTGTGTAGAGTGTCAGAGATATTCTCTAAGAGCTAAGTACCTCTCTCACAATTAGGCAAATGAAGCTCCGTAAAACAGGGGCAGTAACTCTGTCAAATTTGGTCGAAATGAAACGGGACTGCGATATGCGTATCATCAACATGTCGACATCTTGTGTGTAGAGTGTCAGGGATATTCTCTGGAAACTGTAGGAGGAGTTGATTTCACAAGCTCAGTACCCTCTCTCACATTTAGGCAAATGAAGCTCCGTAAAACAGGGGCAGTAACTCTGTCAAAATTAGTCGAAATGAAACGGGACTGCGATATGCGCATCATCAACATGTCAACATCTTGTGTGTAGAGTTTCAGGGATATTCTCTGGAAACTGTAGGAGGAGTTGATTTCACAAGCTTAGTACCCTCTGTAGGACAGACAGACAGACGGACGGACTGCACCACGACATAATCCCCCTTCGGCCATTCTGGCCCGGCGGGGGATAAAAATCAAGATGTTTTATGGAATCATGCAAGATCTGATTTTGAATTAGGTACAAGTTCTCTGTTGAATCAAGAAATTGTAGAATCACAGAACACAGGTGAGACTGTTACAACTTTGGCATTTTCCAAAGGTAAACTAGGCATTATCAGAGTCAATTAACAACATACAATTTGATATTATCACAGGGTTTATTTCAGCTATATAGTGAGGAGTTCACAGTTGCCCTTCCTGACACCCAAAGGGTAAATAGTCTACACGAAGAAAGGGTATTTCACACAATAAATGCAGTAATGTGATCACAGATTGGTTGGTAAACATTTCAATCACAAAATCCTTCAACATATGGTCATTACATTGTTCATTCAAAGTAATACATGCAAAGCAAATGTACTTGAATAATTACACTTTTACAAAAAAAACTAAATATCCAAATTCAGTATCTACCATTACAAAAAAAGAAAGAAACAACTCAGAAGAAATGATTGAAAAATACAAGCAATGGATCAGAAAAATAACCTCTCCAGTTATCTCCCTTCCAAGCAGTAATCTCCCCTGAATGCCAAATGTTGTGAAATCTGTGATATTGAATGAGCCAAGTCAAAAACATGTTGTCATAGATTGAGCTCAGTATTTTCAAATAAATATTCTGAAAACAATGCAAACAAACTGTTAATCTGGCTGTACATGTCACACAAAAACCATACCACAACCTCCCATCATGTATTCCTGACTACTGTACACAAATTTGGGCACAGGCACTGCACCCTGAGTCCTATGAGATCTACATATTGCAGTTGCCAGCTCTTAGTACTTATCTCAACATCACACAACATAGCCCTGGTCTTGTCTCAAATCAAATTAACTTAATGCAAGGACGGATCCGGCATTTTTAAAATTGGAGGTGTCCAAAATATGAAAATCCTCCCTCCAACAATTTTACTGCCTACAACATACCACATTCAAAAGGTGGGGCCTGGACACACACACCACTCTGGATCCACCTATGTTAATGCAAGGAGCTGTTTACATCCATTGATAAAATAAATACACATATGTAAACCTTTGCAGAAAACTTGCATGTAATTCTTGTAATATGATAAAGTATAACATCGATATTGCACATTAGGATTCATCTGTTATTTCTGAATACTCAGTGGTTGTTCACAAACTGCTATCTTTGTCCATCAATGAATACAAAATATAAAGACATCTACAATGTAAACATTTTTTAAATAAATGAATAACACATTGGACCACCCAAATCTCCTTTTCATATACTGTGAATATAGAAAACTATTTTTTTCTTCCAAAAGATATCCATTTATCCTCTGGTATTTAGTTTGTGATGACAAAAGGTTGATGCAAGTGTGCATCTGTATTCTTTTTTACATAGAAAAATATGCACAAATATATACCAATTACGCTTACAACATTCATTTTGGGTTAAAGGGTAAAAAATAGTTTCGCAATAATATCACTTCTTTGGTATGACTTACACAATGATTGATATGTTCACCAATCACTAAGCATTCCAGAAAGCACAGAGGAATCAAACTAATCACATATAATGTGTCATAAGTACATAGATGACTTAGTCAAGCATCATAAAATGCATTCAAATGCAAACAGGTTAAAATATCACATTTTCAGACTCAAATTCACTTCAGAATCTGAAGATTGCAACTGACCCTTTCAAAAATAAATATTCAAAAATGTACACAACTTCTAGGTGTGATGCAATGTTGTACCAAAAATTACACATTTCACAATCCCTCACACATCTGAGTAGGAGCACCACACAAAGTAGGTCAAGGTCACTCACTAACCTTGAATAAAGAGAAACACTTTTGTCTCCCAGTTTAACATTCACTGAACTGAATCAAATAGAACCATTATATTCCATATATAACAGGGAAGTAGCCAGTTTCTCTATATTATGACTTTTAAAGTTGAACACTCTGGAATTGTTAAATAAGTGATGATTTAATCTGATTCAGTGTACAGAATGTTTGACTGAGGTTACTGCAGGCAAACGGGAATATCTAGATGAAGGGCAACTGGTTATCACATAGGTAGAAATATATAGAAGTCTTCACGTATTTTCGAAAATACACATCTCAACAAGTCACCGCTGTTCTTTCATTCCATCATTCCTTGGTAAGAAATCCTATCTGAAATAAATATAAGATTAGATAAACCTTCATAATGAATTTCTTACAGAGTATAAAGTAGCAGATGAACTGCATTAATTTGTATTCACCACACACCATTAAATAACTTTCCAATACTTTACAGTGACAGATCTATTTCAGAATTCCTTTTCTTAAAGCATGTTTGTGTGTGTACAAACAAATTGGAGTGTAATTTCAACACAAATCACAGAGCAAATTACAAAAACAAATCATTGATCATTTTAAGAAAAATATATTTGTTTATCCTGTACAATTGTATTTTGTTTTTTAAAACCACTTACAAGGTGTGCACATCATGCACTGGTTAACTCAGAAGATTGCATGGCCTCATCAAGAGCTTTGGACACAACATCATCAGCAACTTGTTCTATCTTCTCTTCTGTTGTCTCAGGCTTAACAGCCTCACTTTCACCTGCACCAGCCTCACTTTCAGGTTCAGCCTCCAATTCCTTTATAACCTTAGGGGCAAATTTCTTTGTGCTCTCAGTTACCGACTGATCAGCTTGAGGTTCAGCTTCAGCTGCAGGTTTTCTCTCTTTGCGCACACGCTTGCTTTCTACAGGTTTTTTGGTCGTCAGCTCAAGCTTTGTGTAATCTAGTCTGAAGCTGTCAGCCACTCTTCGTTTGTCATATTCATCAGCAAAAGTGCGGATCTTGTTTGTTGGGAACCAAGTTTCACTCCGTGACTTGATGATGGCATCTGTCTGCAGCATCCACTTCATGTCCAGGCAGTCAGCCAGACTTGGACGGTTCCTGAAACATAACAGATCTGCTGGTTCACAAAGACTAGGACTGGCAACATCCATGCATACAGGGCAGTTAATTCATCGTTCCTTGTAGCTCATTGGTTACTTTCTGATAAGTGTAAAAGCAGATTGAGACAGTTGTAGACTCATTTGAAAGTTCTTCTGATGACACTACAAACCTGATTACCATCCATCACATTCTTTATCCCAAGGAACTGATCCATTATTATAAATGAGATGGGGGTGAGAATCAGTGTAGGGTCACCAAATATATGACAGTCACAAGGGGAGGGTCTTAAAAAATCATTCACATATTTAAGGAGGGTCATGAAAAAATGGCCATTTTATAATAAAATATTAAGGCCTTTTGCATGAAAAACATGTACAAAGATGATCATCTCAAGATATTAGGGGAGGGTAATTATTTTCAGTACATCAGTGCATCAAAAACCTCTGAGCCTCTACCCCCTGTAATAAACAACTGGTCCATGTAAATGTGCGTGTGCCTGTGAGTGTGCCTGTGAGTGTGCCTGTGCGTGTGTGTGTGCCTGTGAGTGTGCATGTGCCTGTGAGTGTACCTGTTAGTGTGCCTGTGAGTGTGTCTGTGCATGTGCCTGTGCGTTTGCCTGTGTGTGTGCCTGTGAGTGAATGTGCCTGTGTGTGTGCCTGTGCCTGTGCGTGTGCCTCTGAGTGTGCCTGTGTATGTGCCTGTGAGTGTGCATGTGCCTGTGAGTGTGCATGTGCCTGTGAGTGTGCCTGTGCCTGTGCATGTGTTTGTGCCTGTGCATGTGCCTGTGCATGTGACTCACCTTGGGATACGCTTGAGGAGTTTGAAGATAAACTTTAGTCCCTCCTTTGAGACGTTTTCATACATGTCATTAGCATTATATCTGTTGTATGCAATATTGGCAAGCGTCTCATCATCTGTGTTGGCAGAGAAGGGAGACTCCCCACTAAGCCTGAAACACAAGGTAATCAGAAAGTTTAGTTTGTGTGTGCCTCTCAGTAAAATGACACTTTATGATACCAACCCATCAAGAACTATGTATTTATGGACATGATATGAGGAATCGTGTTTTATAAAAAATAGTATGCCTTGTTCTTGACAATATTCACTAGTAATTCCTTCACCAGTCTGTACATTAATCAGTCATGTGACATAAGCTAACCAAGAATGTGATTCTGTAAAATCATTCTTGCTGAAAAGCAAATATGAAATAGGTGTTTTCTTCTTTACAAACCCTTCAACAACTAGAGATTAACAGTGACAATACCTGACTACATAGACAATATTTTTAGTACCAATCATATTTTCGCCTTCATAATTATTTACAGAAATTTGATGAAAAATAAACATGAGAGAGTAATGCTTTCTTCACAAGAAGTTATTGGGCTTTCCTACCACATCAAGCAGACATGAGGCGGATATAACTGGAATACTGTTCAAAGTGTTGTTAAACCCAACTCACTCACTCCAGGTGATATTGTTGGAATGTCTATATATATTTAATGCAACATTACTCCTGATGTGTTGTGCCCCTGCTGGGGCAACCAGTGTGTACTCACAGCAGGAAGGCTAGGACACCCAGTCCCCACAGGTCGGCACAGCAGCCCACACGCTCTCCGACAACAACCTCAGGAGCTGAAGGTGAAATAGGGAGAGGTCAGAAGTCTCACTTCCCTTGATGATGCATGACTACTTGTTTTAATAGACTGTCCCAAATGAAGATTTATGGAGTCAGAAATCTACAAATTCTTTCTTTAGTTAAGACAGAAAACCATAAAAAAAATAAGAATTCAAATTGATCTTGTAAACTAAATTGATCTGCAACAAGAAAGATAACATCAAAGCTAAAGAAACATTTATAATAACTCACATTATTACCTGTCTTAAGAGAAAAGGATTTCTGTTGCCCAGGTAGCTACTTATAACTTGGAAAGAAAAACTCCAATTCTCATTACCTACAATACAATTATTTGAGATCTTACCCTACATCATCTAAAAATAATCAGACTCAGTTACTTACGCATGAAATCAGGGTAGCCCATCCTTGGCACAGTATCTCCCTCTGGTGAGATCTTCCTTGCTAGACTGAAATCAACTAGCTTGATATTGAGACTCTGTCTGTTGGCCATGATGATGCTACCAGGTTGAAGATTCAGATGTGCATAACCATGGCGATGCAAAAATTGTAAGGCATCAATCACTTGCCGTAAAACACACACAACAGCATCCTCACTGTATCTACGTTTGTAGCCGAGGTAACGAGCAATATTGTCCCCTGTCATTCTCTCCAACACCATGTAAAAGTCTGTGCTTGTTTGGAATCCTTCCAAAAGTTGTCCAACGTGGTTGTGTTGGATGCCTTTAAGAATGTTAAACTCACGCAACCTGTCACTTTCATTGTCCTTTGTTAGAGGTACCACTCGCATTATATGATCCTTTTCTGTCGCAGCATTATTGCAGCTTATGTACTGTGAGAACTTGCCCCTGTGAACAGCAAGAGCATGAAATGCTGATGTTCCAACCGAAATCATTATTTGTTCTCAAGTCATGAGTACATGTTATTTCTTTATTGTTTGATGTATTTTTTTCCCTTTTAATTTTCAGAATCCTGTACTGGGGTACAGGATTGATTCAAGAATCACCCGAAGCACGGGTGGCCCAGTCATCTAAGGAGCTGCAATTCCCTGTCTAGAGTTGCTTCCCTTGGACACACCAGAAACCTATGTTCATGGTTTTGAATCCTTATTGGCCTGATTGATTTTAGGTCTATCAGCACCATACACGTGCTTGAGGGTTTCACCAGAGTGGTAGACGTCTAAGACCTGCATCATTTGGGGCTCCCCCCCCCCCCCACCCCCATATCAATCTTGCACACCATGATATTACTGGAATACTGTTCAATGCGGCGTAAAACCAAATTCACTCACTCACCCAAGAATCATATAGAGTAAATAGCAGCACATCCTGTTTTTGGAAGTAGACCTACACATGCCTGAAAAAAGTTACTCTTCTTTCTATTTTGAAACTTTCATGAAGGATTGGTAAAAGTTGCAACCACCACATTACTTCTATGTACAGCCCTACTATAGATCATAAAGCCTTTTCTTTATGACAGCCATATGAAAAATCAGATTAGACTGTCAGTCCAGGTGAGCAAAGTTATATCTCAGAGGATACATCAATAAATGCTAGTATATCAAATACTGACTTCCAGAGTGTGTCTCCGAGGTTGTACACATCTTCTGGTTTGGTCTTCTTCAGGTCAGCTTCAGTCTCAACCTCTTCCACTTCACTGACTTCCCATCGACTTGCTGGTGGTTCCGGTGCCACAGTCTGACGCTGTCGCAATAACCGTAGGTCATATTCAGGATCAGAGGTGATAGCAGGTGCACCTGTCAAGGAGGAGAAGGAAGTATTTATTATTTAAATCCCAACAGATCCCTTTCTTGATCACTGCACCAATGTAACTCCAACAAAACAAACTACCCCCCACCAGTGCCGTAGCCAGCCAGCAACTGCCCCCTGGATTTTTTATAGAAAACATTTTTCCTTGTGAAAGTTAACTTGAATAAGAAATGAAAAATCTTATTTGCCCCCCCCCCCCCCCCCCCCCCCCCCCCCCCCTCCGCCCCTGTCAAAAAAAGTTAACTACGGCCTTGCCCACACATAAAACCATCATTCAACCTATATATCTCAGTATACACTAGACTTACCCATCCCTTCAACCCACCTCTTTACACTAGATTCACCCACCCACCCACCTCAAACTTGTATATCTCTGTACACACTAAACCTCACCCATCACCCACACACATCGGTTGCGTACCTGCAGGTTTGCTTGTGACTTCCACAGACCCCCAGCTGTAAGGACTGGGCCCAAACTCATTCACTCCACACACGCGGAACCTGTAGGGTGTGTCTGGCATCAAACCTGTTGCGATGGCACACTCTGTGGTCACCTTGGCAGCTGTCTTCCATTTCTCTGCTCCTACAGATAATAGTTTCATTGCTAAAAGAGTGAAACATGACACATTTAAGTAATCTGGTTGTCATTACCATGTGCGACTCGGTAAATATTCTGCTGCAGACTGATGATGGTTGATGCCATTGCCAGACATATTGGCTATATCAGTACAAATTAACCCCAATTAAAGCATGGTCCTTTAATTTAAACCAATTGATTCTTGGACATAATAGCTGAGTAACCACTAGTACACAAGTAGTGCTGAATGAATATGAGATAATCTTGTTTGCTCAACCAATCTTCAACTCCAGATGCAGAATACATCTATACAAGTGAACACTGTCTCCAAACATGTGTAACTGTAAGAGTGAATATGATCCTACCCTATTTTTTATCCCGGGGATGAAATTCTCTAGTGTCAGGATGATTCTCCCTAGTGAATTTGAACCCATACCAGTGTGTTTAATCCTATCCTATACTATACTCTAATGTAAAACTTCCCCCAGGATAATATTTAGGTGGAATATAATCCTTGCTTACATAACTTCATCTTTGATCATCTCCCATTGACAGAACCAACATTATTAAAGAGACACAACAGTTGGGTAGCCTAGTGGGGGTTAGTATTGACTGACTGTACAAAGGTCCAGGTTCCATTCTACACATGGGTACAGAATGTGAAGCCCATACCTGGTGTGCCCTGCAATACTGCAGTACTGCGGTGCCTCTGTCATTATCAAACAAGCGCTCACCTGGTTTCTTGTAATCCAGCCTGTAGTAAAGAATATCAGAGTTGCCATTAGTCTTGGCTGAAGTCCAGATGACAAAGGCCTCACCAGATGTGATCTGAGTTACCACTGGATGACCTGGCCGCTCAGGGGGCTCTGTAAGGACAACACACACTCTGGGTAACTATCTGCTTATGGCCATAGACTAGACATCTCAGAAATGGATACTGCTGTGAGTCTGACATATACTTATCCATCAGACATTATAAGTTGTAGCAGGATCATGAGGGCTACATGAGGTTTTATAAATCCCATGTTAGGTTTTTATACCACAAGCCTCCAGCATACATCTTCATGTACCACGAGTGATCCTGCTACAACAAATCTATGTTACTGACATGTTTTAATAGGACATTGTCAAAGAATTCAAATAATTAAAATTTGATAGAAAACAGCTGTTTGATTGAACAGACGTTAACTTGTGCTATGTCAATGACTTTAACTGACTCAGGAAATAGCGTGCCTCTTTTTGCTTGGAAGCGGGGTATTATTGGGGATTTATTCTGCCTTTCAGAAATCCATGTGCAGCCTGTCTTGCTAATGGCAGGGTATAAGGGATTTATTCACCCGATGAGAAATTTATTTTTCCCCAAGGCAAGATACATAGTACTTTATAAGATCACATGGATCAATCATTCTGACATGAAGGTAGCAACTGATATCCAAGTTGTGTCACATGCTGTTAAACCAATATACTTGTTTAAAATGATACAAAAACATGTTTCCTGTATCTTAATGTTACACATAAACTGAAAGAAGTATCCTTACAAACTTTTCCCAATTCTAAATATACACACTTTGAAGCAGTACATTCCAGACTGTAGAGTTGATCTGGATTTGTTAGTCACGGTTAGACAGATGTAACTGTATGTGTTTGTGGTCAAGAATATTCAACAGCACTATAAGTGAATTCTCACTACTCAGAATCTCAAAACTGAACAATCTTTTACGTTTCTTATGCTTTCACACTCATTATGTTACTTACATGCTAACATACATTTGATACCTCTCACTGACCAATCAACTTCAAGTACTTCCAACATGTGATCAACTCTCACCTCCAATCATCAGCCTGCACCTACACGAGGAGCGTCCATACTTATTCCGGGCGACACACTTGTATATGCCTGTGTCATACTCCTTCACATTGGAGAGGGTGAGGTAAGCTCGGCCATCACCACACACACCGATCTTTGTACGGGTAGCATCTGAGAGGAGTTCCTCGTTGCGATACCAGGCAACAGTGGGCAAGGGCGGCCCCATCATGTGACAACATAATGTGATTGTCTCCCCTACCCCGACAGCCATATCCTCCAGCTTGGCCTTGAATGTTGGACCAGGGAATCCTGCAAACAGAAAGTCATTTTTCATTGTGAAGGTGGCGTACATTGAATATTGAGCTGTTGGAAGCATACCCATGCTTGTCATTGTGAAATGACATGCCTTACTTGTGTTATTATTCCTTTATCAAAGGGATGAATTACAAACCCACAGGTTAAGATCATGTGTTGATATTTACTAAATAACCACCAAACAGCAAAACAAGATTAATTGATCAGGCATTTGTTATCTACAGAATGATATAGGAGCTATCAGCTTTCTTTTCATCATATTGTATGTCTTATTCATTCTCTTAACCTTGTGAAATAGATGGGTATAGAAAAAAGGACACCAATCAAATAAATTTCATGACGTCTAACATATCTAAGGAGATGTATCATTGATTACAAATTAAAACATTCCAAATGACAGACACAACTATTCTGCACCAGTCAGATGTCAGCTTTTCAAAATGATTTGGTTTCATTTCTTTTGGAAACTTTAATGATAACAAAATAAAACCCATAAAGAACATTAATATCACATCGATAGTCACCAGTGTATATGCCATTGCGCTCATAAACGGAAGGGCACATGAAGTATCCACAACAAAATATGTGTAGCCTATACTTTTGTTTTCATTTAGAAATTCCTGTTTATGTTTGTTTTCAAGATACATGAATCAGATGTTTCTCTAAATACTTTTTTCACTTATACCAAGGATATAGAAAGTTCACCTAACTTGACCCAATGCAGGGTCTATCAGACATTCACTTAGGAAAGAACAAATATTATTGCTCTGCATGTATTTACCGTACCACATAGACTTACAGAAGTTGTTCAATTAAGATATGAGTCTGCAGGTCAGCCCTGGCAAATACCATTAAGAGCCTGCTATAAGAGTTTCAAGTACCTTCCGTTGAAACAGATCCCAGGGATGATCGCTTGGAAGCAATGCTCATCTCATCAGTATCTTTTGGTCTCTTCTCTCTCATCTCCGCCATCCATGCCATTTCCTTTTCCAGGGAAGGCGGCAGGGTTTCCTTGTCCACATCAGACAACAGACGGCGCTCTCGGACAGTAGGTGCCTTTACAGAGTAATCGTCATCCCCATAAACTTCATCTTCAAGGTCAAAGCTGTCATCGGGCTCACCAGCTTGGCGCCGGTAGCCACGCACTCGCAGAGAGTAATCAGTGTCCTTGGTTGGGTAGAGCTCTGATTCATGGCCAGGCTGGTAGCGCATCTGCCAGTCATACCTAGCATGGGATCGATAGGATGACTTTGTGGGTGATTGTTTTGTTTTGATAACTGCTCCAATATGCAATGTTTCGTGCCAGGAATTTCTCTGACATTTGCATATGATAAAGTGTAATCTTGTCTTCATTGTGACACTGGATATAGTTACTCTAACCCTTATTTTTTCAAGCATTGGCAATAATTAATACCTTTTATTCATTTTTCATGAACCCAATAAGTGATATTTCCTCAACTAGGAAACCAAAAACACCACAATGAACAAAAGAACGAAAGGTTGATGTTCCAAATTTCCCCAAATGAAAATATGTATCAATCCAATGTATATCAAGAAATTACAACCAGCAATACATATCAATGAAAACATTGATAAGCTCTATTACCACATGTAATGGAAAGAAATCTATCAAATGGGTTCTTTCATATTTATTAAATTGCAGTCAAAGAATGTCAGTGTGATTCCCTTACCAAGACTCATCATCAAGAAACTCTCCATATGCCTCGGACCCTGGGAAAGTGATCTTGCTTGTGGCCGAGTCGACCTCTGGGTGTAGACCTCCATGGCGGGGAGTGCCCTCTAACAACTTGCTCAGACTGTACAGGTCAGCCACAGTCCGCATAGAAGGCTCACCAGTCTGGGGACAAGAAAACAATGTACACATTGAAAAGTGAGTCCGGACAATTCTCGGGACAAAACTCATGTGAGATAACGATCTAACCTATTGGCTTTGTGAAGGTCTTGTTTGCCCAGATTCCTTGCAAACATGTCTCAGTTCATCTGAAAACTTTTCAATCTTTCACTTTTACCTCACACTTGCTTACCTGGCGTGCCTGAGTTTGGTAAGTCTTGAGTTTGCCCACATCAATCTTAGCACCTCCATTTCGGTCTGTGGTGTTCTTCAGCCAAGAGTGTTCTAAACACTCCTCAACTGTCAAGCGGTCCCTGGAAATAATATTAGGATATTCAAACCATGTTAACACTACAGGGCTCCATCATCAGCTGTATCCATCAGGTTCATCATTCATTTACTGACATATCTATGGCTGTATAAAGTTTTGTAAGACAAAAATGTAACTCTCCATGCAATTTTAAGAAGCTCAAGAGATTAAGTCTTAGTGTGTTACCAATTGATGAAATATTGTTTTGCATATATATTTGTTAATATGTGTGTCAACAGTTTCTCCATAGTTAACTAACCATGACATTTTGTCAGCAAGCTCATTGTTATATATCAAAACAAAGGAATGACAGAATGAGCAATATGCCATCAAGATACGATGACATTCAGGTCAATAAGAGTTGGTCCTCTTGACGGTTATCCTTTCAAGAAATATTGCAGCCATTGTCACCAACCAATCCCCATTTTTGTTGGGCATTAATGAGCACAGGAGACCTCAGTTCACATGAGGCTGTAATGAATAACCACATCAGAACTATGTACTAAAGAAACTTAAACTGCATGTGGATTCACTTCACTTACATTGGGTCAAGGACAAGGAGTTTGGAGATGAAGTCCTTCGCATCGGCAGAGACTTTGTTGAAGGCGGTGTCAAATTGCCAGTCACAGTCCACAGTCTTGATGAGGGAATCTCGAATAGTGTTGTCATGGAAAGGAGACACACCACTCAGCCTGCAAAATGGTGGGTATTAATTTTAAACGATATCTCTCAGAACCAAAAAATAGATTATTTATTTGTCCAAATCCCTGTCTAACTTTTGGTAGCAGGCATTTTCCTATCAGGATTGGATTACTATATTTGATTACTTCATCACCTGTTTTTGCAGTCCATTTTCATGTTAGAACAAATCTAAAATCCATCACTTTTTATCTTGCATATTCCAAATGTTGCTGAGCCATTGACATCAGCCAAGAGAGAATCTCATTTTTTCAATCTTCTCAAATGATTTTCATTTCAACAAGATCTATTTATATATTTATTTGTACAGCAATATTTCCACTATATCATGGCAACCTGTTAATAACTGAGCATGGTCTAGACATACCATGGGTTGATATTATGGGCAAACTCATTGGGATATGATGGAGCACCCAATCCATTTTCTTAAGTCACCTCTTTCAAGAAGCAGAGGTTACTCGGGACTAATTCTAACCCACATTCTCCACATTTATATCTCAGCAATAACAAAATCCTCTTTCCTATCTCCACTGAAGTGAAAATATATAATTACTTACAAAATGCCTTGATGTTTCTATGTGATATCATATTTAAGTTTCAATGATATAGTGTATTGTATTGTTACTATATGATGAAGGAACACTGAAGCTACTCACAGTATGTAAGTGAGGACACCGACTGACCACATGTCACTGGCTAGAGTGACGGGCTCATGGTCAATCTGCTCTGGGGACGCGTGCTCAGGCGTACCAAAGTTGAACAGAACATCCTTGGTGTGAGGAAGTTTCTTTGCAAAGCCAAAATCAATCAACCGGAGCTCATCAGATTCAGGACTTGGGAACATCAGGTTGTTTGGCTGCACACAAAGTTATTAGGTTAACATGCATGATATTTCAAAAGAATTACATTTTCTTTTCTATGATCCACACCATCAGGGTACAATAGCTCAGATGAGAGTTGAGAGAAGTTCTACTATAGGTTGTCTCCCATTCACATACCTTTGTTTTAAAATGTTTCAATTCTCTGGGCAGAGTATGCCAGAAACTATTGATCATGGCTTTGAATCCCAGATACTTATGTTATAAAATACTCAACAATATGAGCCACAGAAGTCAAGGACATGAAATCCAGTCCAGTGTTGGACTAGCCTCTTCCTCACCTTGATGTCCATATGTACAATGTTCATCTTGTGAAGCTCATTCAGGCCTCCCAGTAGCTTCCTCACATAGAAGGCAGCACTATTCTCAGTCAGACTTCCAGATTTGATGATGCGGTCTAGAAGCGAGCCACCGGTCAATCTGGCAGTGGTTAAGTTCCACAACTGCTTTTATGTTTAACTACTATGTTAGCAGATTAAGCAACTTGTATGTTCATATGAAAACAAGAAATTGATTAATTCTTTGAATACTTTCTTCTTAGGTTGAAAAGAATTGTGATCGTTGTGGAAAACAGGACTATTTTGCTTTTGACATACATCAATGAATGTTGAAAGTTATCCACAATTAAGTTCCATAGTCAAAATCTCCCGAATCATAATCCTTTGTCTATAAGCACCGTTCCCCTCCTTCAAGGGCTTCATCAATAAGGTGAACTCACTCACTCTACTAAAAAGAGTGGGGAGTGTCAAGATTATCTCATCCAGGGTATTTCATACAAAAAAACACACTTTTCAAGGTATTATTTAGCCAAGGTCAATGTGAAAACATAACAGTTTTATGAAATGTGCAACCGGGACACTGAAACCCATTTTAAGTTAGGTGAAGATAAAATGTGAACTTTAATGAATGTTCTTTGTTGAGGATACAGTTCGTTGACCATGATGAGTTTCTTGGGTGTTTCATATGCATCATGAAGTGACAGGAGGTTTTTGTGGTCTACCATCCGTGATGTTTCAAGTTCTGGCCTGAAGAAATCCTTCTCTGTGTCATCGCGTACTCGCACAAACTTGGCAGCATATACGTTGCCGGTTGATTTCTCAATGACTCGGTGCACAACACCATGACGACCCCTGGAATGTGAGATTAATCAGTTGGTACCATACCAGTGAAATCCAAAAAAAAAATGTCAAGAGCTATAATTGTATTACTACATTGTATCATCAAAGTTAGTGTTAGAGTAAACTGTTTAATATACAAGCAATCCTACAGGCAGATTCACATATGGGGATTATCCTTTAAAAAAACATTTCTATAAATAAACATATATATATACATTGCCAAATTATTAATTTGCCCCTTTCCCACTTTTACAATTCCTGCATCTGTCCTTGATTCCCATCAGTCAACTTAGCCTCAGACCACATACTTCAATGAATGTCTTACCTGCCAAGTTCTTCCAAGACGTAGTAACCATCCTCGATGCTGGAAGTGTCTTTGAAATCTGTGGTACCTTTGGTTGGCATGACATCTGTGAAAAGGAATCCTCAAATTATGACCATTTCTTAGAGAATATGTCCTCTGCTTGTCTTCAGGATACCAAATATTTGATAACAAATCACATAAGGGATTGTAGGGTTTAGGAGGAGCAGAATAGTAATACAAGACGGCGTTCAAGGGGAGGGATGTAACAACTGGATTGACCATGAAAATATTGACAGTTGTGCCAAAATACCAAGTGGTTTGTTGCATTTAAATGTGGAAACTTCTAACTGTCGATAGTGGGAATGATTGCGCAAGGAAATGACATTTGGAGCGGATTATGGATAATGATCTAAATGTGTAAGGATGAGCAGGTACATTCTGCTTGCAAACCCCATTACCTCTGGACACATGCAACAAATTATCAGTACAAGGTCCCGATGATGTTAGTTGCCTCTTACGCCGCATGGGTTGCTGAAGACTTATTCTACCCCTGATCCTCATGGGTCCAGTAAAGTATTAGATCAAGTGCCTGTTTCTTATGAAGAAATTGTGTCCACATAAAACACTACAATGTCATGTCTATACAGTGTCATATCTATATAATGTCATGTCGACCAGCCGATTAGGAAAACCCAATTAGATAGGGTTTTTTTGTAGGACAAGTAATGATAAAATGCTTTTAAATCTGGCATTAACTCATTTACAAAAAAACGTACACCAAATCAACAATTCTGATATGCAGCTACCTTCCACAGTGAGCCTGGCAGAGCAGTGCACCTTCCCAGCAACATTCTCAGCCACCACCATGTACTGGCCTTCATCCATTGACATGACATTGTTGATGTTCATCGTCCAGGTGTCTGGTTTCTGGTTCGACACATAGATTCTGGATGTCTCTGACAGAGGGCGCCAGTCCTTGCTCCACTTAACTGATGGGGTGGGATAACCATCAATACGACATAGAAGTTGGCCACTGCCTCTTTCCACCAAGGTCGTGTCCTTCAGGGCCACCATGATGGTCGGAGGATCTGGAATGTAAGGTGCATGTAGAATCTGTGCTCTATTTATTTCATCATTTGGATCATTTCATACGTTTTCCTTGTGATCCCTAAATCTGAACAGATTTCCAAAGTTTTTTAAGATTAAAGTCCTTTTACATTATTAATATGATATAGAAGTTCTAGCTAGGATCATAAGGAAAATATATTTTGAAAATTTGCTGACAAACAGTCAAAAAGTTGAAGTCGGTGACGTCATCTTGTTTAAATATTGAAAAAGCAATTAGCTTCTCTATGCTGGCTCTATATTGATGTTACAGCACAATCCATAGAGCAAACAGTTGGAAGTTGTGTCAAGCCTTTCTCCAATGTACCAGTGGTAGCTGCAAATAAGCTATGTTTAGAACAGTTACACAGCAAAATATTGTTAATATCATCTCTTACCTGCCATCTCAAGATGTGTGGTCTTCTCAGCTATTCCATGGTCATTCTCGGCCACGCATTTGTAATGTCCAACATCAGGCCAGCCCATGTCTGTGAACTCCAGGACAACCTGACCACTGGGGGAAATGTAAGTATTGTAGCGGTCACCATAGATGATCTTCTCATCATTGAAGTACCACATGATGACAGGGAGGGGGTTACCACGTAACTGTAGGATGATCTTGGCTGTTCCACCTTCCACCCCATACTGCTTGTTCTCTTTGGGCAGAACGAAATCAGGAGCAATGGCTGGAAAAATATTTAAATGGTTACGATTAATTTGATACTGATACATTAAGCAGTGCCTGATTTAATATTCATTCTGGTTTTGAAAATATGACAAAACTGAAGATGTAAATAGATGCAAATTAACAACTGTGACATTTGTGAATTAATCAAGGGCCATTGATCATCTTTATGATGGAATTCAGGAGCTTTATGAATTCATTTTTATCATTATGAATCACAAGAAAATGAAAACAGTCATAATCTTGAACAGTTTCTATCCTCTAAAATATATGAAAGACTCTTGTACACATGATATAGCTAGTCTTCTAAGACTGGGCAAAATGGCCATGATTCTTTTGATCCTATCAAATTGATTCTACACTCACGGATTCCTTCAGAGAAAGGATCGTCATCTTTCTGTGTGAGGGACAATCTGCGGTGAGCTGACGGACTGACACTGCGAGCCCTGGAGCTGGAGCGTCCACGGTATTCCCGAGCATTGGGGTCCTCTGTGGGAAGAAGTACATCCATTTAGAGGCATTCACAGAAGCCCAGGTCACTATCATAGTGTAATAAGTTAGCTTCACTACAACAGGAAACATTCATTTTCTGAGTCAAGAAAGATTTTGCATCATTGAATGTTCAATATTTTGACGCAAACAGAATGATCATAATACAGGTTCTACCAGAACCATAAAATTACTTCATCATGAATGATATGTCAAATGATCGCATTTGAGTTAACAAGGCTTAACAAGGCTTAACTGTATGTGATTAGATAGAACATCCCATATTTCCTACCTGAGTAACCAATATTACCACTCATTATATGTGATGCCATATGATAAATTGTAAATGTTTCCCTGAACATATTTAATCTTGAATTTGATTCTATTGACAGCTAGATTGACAATTAAGTCAGAGTTAAGTCACCTACCTCTTTCTCTTGTTAGAGATGTTGGAAGCGTGGGGTCACTGGTACCGAACTCATTCTGACCTCTCACTCGGAACATGTAGTCCTGTTCAGGGTCAAGGTCACGCACTTTGTAGGATGTTTCTGGGACATCTTCAGCAATGACAGACCATAAATGATTTGGCGGTTCCCGCTGCTCTACAATATAGCTGACCTTCGTCTGGCGCAGGTAGGATGGCATTCTTGCAGGTTGCCAGTTCAAGACAAGACGATCCTCTGTCTGGCTATTGATGGTTGGGCGACCAGTAGGTGTTCTTGGAGGCACTGAAAGTCAAACGTCAGTCACATGGTTACATGGTCACATGGACATTTTTCATTTGCTTACTCTTGACCATTAATATAATTAAACTACAGTCACTCGATCTTCTGTCAGAGCCCATTAGCCTTCAGTGCATGGAGGCCATGATAGAAAATATTCCTGACAAGTATCCCATTTTGAGATCTTCAAGATAAAAATTTCAAAGCAGAGTACTTATTAACATTATTCAATTGACTTCATACATTTCTTTCGTATTGAGGGTAAACAAGGGTTTAGGCATGGAAGTTGTTGTACATGAATATGCAAGGGTTCAAGGCATACCTCCAGACATGAGACTGTCGATGTAGGATGGTGTCTTTGATGACAGTATTCCATCGTCAGAACGCTCAATGGATGGGCGTCTCTTCTCAGCAGCTGAAATGATCAAAACATCAAATCCAAACTTTCAACTGCTATATGATAATCACACAATATAACAGGAGCTTTAGCTTTAAACATCCTGATGGTAAGCTCACTTTGTGTTCATAATTTTTAGAAACCTAAAATGCATTTTAGCAATGAGGTATTCAAAACAATTTAGAAAAAAAAGTCCCTTAATGTAAGGGCAGAAGCTAGATAATGAATAGTTATATATATCTTATCCACTTGCACATTAAATACTCTCTTACCAATGTTTGTACCCCATAGGGATTCCAAGATAGATAAGGTCCAGAGTACACCATGCTTGTAGTGCCACTCTCAGCTGTATGATGGTGGGCTGTATATAATCAAGTCTGGACCAGATTGATATCACAAGCATCGATCCATGCTTTTGGCAAATGATATGCAAAGAACCATGTCAATGAGTCTGACCACCCACACCATTTAGCAGACTCCTACGACAAGTACAGGTTGCTGGGGTCCTTGTTGTACTGTTTGTTTGTTTGTTTGTTTGTTTGATTGTTAAACGAGTCTGGACCAGAGAATCCAGCAATTGAGATACGATGATATGCATCAATCAAGTCAGCGAGCCTGACCACCCGTTCAATAGTCACCATAAAACAGATTATGCTCACACTATTCAGATAAACCAATGGTTGATAGCATGAGCAGCAATCCACATGCAAACAGTCACACATTCCTCAAGTGCCTATTCACACAGGATTAACCAATAAAGAATACTATGCTACCTTTCGCTCTTGACAGCACAGCATGGAAGGTAGGTTCACTGACACCATACTCATTCTCTGCCCTCACACGGAAGTGGTAGTCTTGAGAAGGTTTCAGGTCACCAATCTCGTGACTCATGTCACTTATTCCACCGATCAGATCCCTCCATGACCCAGATGGAGTGTCCTTGACCTCGATGGTGTAGGTGATGGGTGTAGACTTGGCATACACTGGGATTCTTGCCGGCATCCAGGACATGCGCACCGACTCTGGGCCCATGGTGAGCAGACGTGGCGTATCAATTGGAAGCTTTGGTGGCACTGAAAGAATAATTGTTTCTGTTTATAGGAGTTATCCATTTGCGTTAAAATATGAGACTATATTGAACTAGTTCTATGGATAATCATTGTCGTATATACATTTTGGTTTCTCTTTTGTAATTACACCAACCTGAAATTTGGAAAAGTGAAAATGAATGAGACTATTGTTAGAATATCAAGTGTGTTTATTTCAAACAGTACCTGTAAATGTTTGGAGTTGTGTTGAACTGCAAGGCCCTTTTAAAGGAAAAAAACCATGGACCCATGTAAAGTGTTTTTTTTAAAATACTTTATTCTCATTGTTTTCCCGTAACTCAATTAATTTCATAATAATGAAATAACTCACCAGTTTCGCTCATTGGTTTTCCGAAGTCAAATGCCTCATCATCATCTTCATCACCCAACAGCCTGTGCTCTGAAACAAGTGAGGTAACTCAGGTCATACCAAAAATACAAGTACATGTAATATTGTCTACAGGTCTTGTAACTGATACCATTCTGTCAGCTAATGACTAAAATTCATCATTGTTTAAGGCCAAATTGAGAATTGATATGAGAAAATAATAACACATTTATATAAATCTCATTCTGAATGTGTATAAGCCATTATTTGTAACCAGTTAAACCCAAGCAAGTTGGTCAGCTAGCCTACCGCCAAGCTTTTGGTCACCGTTCTGGTCACTATCTACCCAAATAAACAGTTGCCTGCCTGGCTATATTCGCAATGTCTGTGCACAGAACTCAGCTTGAAATGTATATCATATTTATGATCATATACTTTCATCATAATAAAACATCATTGCACCATGCACAGAAGTACTGGTATTAAACAAATAAAGGAACAACAACTCTTTTTTTGTACGGAATTATTTACATAATAACAAATCCATGAAACAAGTTTTATAAAAAATTGTATTTTTTTTTATTCGAATTGAGTATTTTGACAGATTTCTGAGTTTTAATCAAAAAGAGCACTCCAAACAGCAATATCGATTTTTTTACACTAATATGCATGCTTTCAAAAGTAATAGTATTTTGACCATTTTGAAATGAAATTTAATAAACCTATTTTAATTGAAAATAAGGTCTTGACGTGCATACCTATTGGTCTGTTAAGGAATACAGGAAGTGTTGGTTCACTGTAACCGAAATCATTGACTGCACGGACACGGAAGGCATAGTCCAGGAATGGGTGGAGGTCCTTTACTTGGAAAGTTGTACCAACAATGCCGGATCCCGCCTCTCGCCAATCGAAACAATCTTGAGGCCGCATCTCCACTCTGTAGGTGGTCCTGGAGAGGGAGGTGGTTGCCTTGGGAACACGAGCAGGATGCCAGGACAGCTGGACAGACTCGGGGGTCGACTCATACATTGTGGGCTTCTCAATGGTGAGCCGAGGTGGAACTGCAAGTGTCACAAGACAAGTTTTGATACGAAACAATAAAAATACATATTTAGAGAATAACCCACAACAAACTAGATTATCTGAGTGAAAGAACAGTGTAAGTCCCATGCATCAAACTCACAGCATTCATGAGGAACAGATCATTTGTAAATCCTAAGTAAGTTATTCTATATGTTAATAATTACCATTATCATCTTAGGAAGAAAACTGGTTGAAATGTCAAATCTGCAAAGACACTACAGTCAACATTTTGTTGTGATGATGTACCATTTTGTGACATAATGAAAATATGGATGATGTTAAACCCTATTAATCACAATAATGTAGCTATGTGATATTGCAGCAGGGGCCACTGGTGGCCCAGTCGTCTAAGGCACCGCGATTCACTGTGCAGAGAAACCTATGAATGTGGGTTCGAATCCCGGTTTTCCCCAATTATGTTTCTAGGTTTGTCAGCACCATACCCGTGCTAGTGGGTTTCACCGAAGTGGTAAACATCTTACACCTGCTTCACTTCGGGCTTTCCTCCAACATTAAGCTGACATGCCGTGATATAACTGGAAATCTGTCAAAGGCGGCGTTAAACACAACTCACTCACTCACTCACTCACTCACTCACTCACTCACTATATTGCAGCAACTGAATAATCAACACTTAGCATAACAAATTTGCACATATAAAGTTATTATTCATTCTTTCAAAACAATGATCACAGGTTTCGGATCCTGGTTCACCCAATTATGTTTCTAGTGCTCGTGGGTTTCACCAAAGTGGAAATGTCTGAGACCTGCCTCACTTCGGACTTTCCTCCCACATTTAGCTGACACGCCGTAATATAACTTGAATAATGTTCAAAGCCGCATTAAACTCAAACTCACTCACTGTTAATGTATGTAGATATATATGTCTCAGGTGTTATGTGGTATGAAACTGAGTTATAAACTGTTTGTTTCCGATATGTGCTGGATGTCTTGGACTACCATCAGTATATACATTTATAATATACCAACGTGTTCTGTGTCTCTCTGCTCAAAGCCCAGCTCCTGCATATGTTCGTGAATTGTAACTGTTACTCCATCCTCACTATTGATATACATATTGTATTCTGACATTGATCAGCCCCAATGAAAAATTAGTTTATGAACATTTATTCAATAAATGAAAAATGTCAGAAAAGCACTTACCTTTAACAGTGAGGCTTTCGATATAGGGTCTGTTTGTCAGAGTGAAGTCCTCCTGGTTGATGAGGGATTCTGGAGCAACCAGTGGTTCGTAGCTCAGTCCTGGAGAACAGACATGCAAGTTGCTTTAGTATCAATGGTTTCTTATCATCCCCTATCAATGCAAAAAATCTGGAGTAAAAAAACCTGAATGAGCCCTATCAGAGAGATACTGTTAGTCTTATGTTGGACAAAAACTGAAAATGCTGTTAACCCGTAGTGCCTCAAGATGATAGTTCTACTGAAACACGTGCATCCAATCCTGTTACAGAGAGTTACAGCAATCGATGTAAAGGGCATGTATATTTTGTTGGTGACAATGATATATCAATGATCTGACATCACAATGGTATTCCTATGTAACACCGTATCCACTCTCCTCTCCTACTTACTAGTGGACTTCCAGTACGGAATGGGTGGTGTAGGTCGGCTGACGTCACCACTTGGGTCGGAGGCACGGATCCTGAACATGTAGTCCTTGCGTGGGCTGAGGTCCGTCAGTTTGTACTCATGTGCAGTTATGTCCCTTGCAATTGGTGTCCATTCCCTTCGTGGCGGTTCTTGCATCTCGATGACGTAGGACATTTTTGGCATGGACTTGCGGGATGGAATGTGGACATTGCTCCAACGGAGTCTGGCGCCATACGGCTCATCGGCGAAAATAGACGGTCTAGCAATTGGCACTCCTGATGAAACTGAACAGTTAACAGCAAAGAATTAACAAATTATGAAGATCTGATATTTTGAGCATACAATTAAGTTGTGTGTTGCAGTTCCAAGGACAAAAAAATGACAGCATTATCTTCATCTTGCACATGATGGGCTATATTATCTTCTCTATGTGCTACTACTATAAATTAGTTGGGTTTTATTTTGTCCTTGATAAAATGTTGAGTTACATAATGGTAGAGTGAAGAACTAGAAGAAGTACAATGTTCAGTTCTTTCAGATTTAATCAGCCTCTACTCAAGAGGCACAACACATTTCTGAATGATTAGGATAAACAGCGATACATATAACATTGTTTTATATTTGTGAAGTGATAAACAGTGATATTTGTGTCTGAGAGAAGCTGACCTGGTCTCCTGTACAGAGTGGCTGGTGTGGATGGCTCCGTCAGTCCATACGGTGTTTCTCCTCGGATACGGAAATAGTAATCCTGTCGTGGCTGCAGTCCCGTCAAGCGATGAGATGTTCCCGTGATTCCCCGGGCAACAGGCCTCCATTCATAGTCAGGGAAACGCTGACTCTCAACCATGAACGATAGAGGCTCATCTTCACATTCGAAAGCTGGAACGTCAATAAGCTGCCAGCGAAGCTTCGCGGAGGTATCTTCAACATCCTCAATCTCAGGGGCAGAGAAGGGGATGTACGGGATTGCTGGAAATGAAAATATCAAAATTTGACAAGATCATTTTCGGAAGTCAGTGAGTCATGTGCCTATGTTTTCAGAGCCTGTAAAACTTTCCACTGTACAATGACAGCAGTTTGTTTCCTCCACAGACAAGGGCATAGTCTGAGTACTGATTGTCACTGATTGGATGGGATGTCTCACTCATAGATCACATCAACTTCCTATTTGGCTGTTTATTTTGTAATCTAAATATAGTTTTGATTCAGGGACAATAACACAGTTGCAATAAATCAGTAATTGAGGATAGAAATCTAGGTAACAAACTAATATAATAATTATTTTATATTCATAAAAATTATATTGTCAGTAGGGATTTTAGAAACAATATGTGCAACTGCAGTTGACAAAAAAAAGTCTGTGTGGCAAAAAGGGATGGGTAATGGATGTTTAAAGTAGTTTGCAATATTCGACAATGCACAAGGCGATATTGCGATACATTTCACAATATATTGTATAATTCAAAATTTGATTCAGAAGCAATTTGAAACATCAATGCAGGAACTGAAGTTCATAAATGGAAGAAAACAAGATTACTCATTCAAAAAATATGCAAGGATGCACTCTCCGGGACAGTGATGACAATGTTACATCACTGCCACAGAGGAACTCCAGAATGGGAACTTGCATTTTGGAATTACAGATTTTGAAGGTACCTGGTACATGTATTTGGCAAGTGAATAACATTAAACACATGATGAAATCGCTATTTGAAATCACCCGATATACCGAGCATTAAAACATAATAATGTGAATTCATGGAAAGAATTAACCTCAATTTACCGATATACCGGTAATACCGCGCACCCTTAGTGGCAATATATTTGGGCAGTGGTAGTGGAGTGCAGTTTAGAACATAGACTTGCATCATTTTCTCTATGGATTCACTTAGACAATGTTTGAGTATAAACAGAGACAAGGTTTGTTTTAATGCTATTACCAGTGATCCCTAATTCAAACATACTAAAACAAACCACTTTTTGAGTATAGGGACATCACTTCCTAAACATCACTTTCTAAGTTTTATCATTACAGAATCAAAGTAATTAATTATTATAATAAACCTGTTATTTAAATAGTTACACAACCTACCCCTGTGTTCAAAAAAATGATGAAAATATAACTGTTTCCTCCTCCCATACAGATTATAGTGAATGACCTCTCGGCGCCAGTAGAGGAGATCCTGCGACATGCTGATTTCAGAAAAAACTCTGCTAGCAGACTTTCAGGAATGGTGCTGAATCAGGTACTATAGCGGCTTTACTGCAAATGTCAGCATGGCTGTGGTAGCAGAATATCTACACAGAATATCTCAAGTTGTTACCACAAACAGCAAGGGGAGAAGTCAGCAGCTTCCCAGATGGAAGGTGCCTGGGGTTGAGAATCCACGGTATAAGAAACTAGAACTGAAGGCAGGAACATACAGGTGTTGTCCTTGGAACGGCTTGACCATAGAGAAATTGATAAATTCTATATATGAATCCTTTCCAAATTTCAGTTTTGTCCTACATGTGAAAATATACACACTCTGTACACACTGCTGTTTGAAAACAAATTCAGAAACTCCGTCAGACACAATTGTGACTGGACAGTCAGGAACTGCTTGTCTTGTACTTGTCTGGCCAATCTACCTTGTCATACTTTGAAATCTCATTCAAATGGTCATGAGACTGGTATAATTGGAAAAGCAGTTGGCCAAAATACTGGGGTCAAATATCTGGCTGGTCAGTTTGGCAGCTTAATGGTCAGTGAGAACTGGCCACAAGGCAAACACCATCTGGGGGTGCCCTGAACCATTAGTAACATCCACAACACATGAGAGATATCCATCTCATTTATGATGTGTTTTGATAGGGTGGCATTAGGGCACAATTGCAAGTTCTCACAAACTTGTTGATCTGATTCTGATAATTTTAAATCCAAATTCAGTAAAAGTTAAACACACAATATACAAATATTCTCCAATCTTGTTTGGCATATTATCCCCATGATTTGTGAAGTACAAGAAACTCCACATCAAAGTCCTTGACTTGGTCTGTTAATCCATTCACTATACACTGCAGAGTTCTGGTCATTCCATCATTAGGAATAGCATTGCAGTAGATTTGGTGAAGAGGTACTAAAGTAAGCAAACATCATCATCAGGATGTCACAACTACCACCACAGATTGGTACAACCCTTTGCTCCTGAGAAGCAACAACACCATACAAGCCCAGACCTCATCTACCAGTGCTTTCCTGTAAGTCTAATTTCATGCTGGTAATAGTTGCATCCACAAAAATTGCTATGCTATCGCAGCCTGTCCACGATCTTAGAAATGTTAGTCCACGAAAATAGGCATGTTCAGCAGCTTTCAGAGGGTGCAATGATTTGATTCCAAGAGCAATGATATATGGGGAAAAGAATGAGGTAATTCCTGCCCAGTCCCCGAGGAGGAACATGCACCCTGCCTTCTCTGTAGCACTGCCCCAGCCTGCAGGCCCCAGTGCTAAACGCAGCATAATCTCCCTCCAGCAGTTGGAGTCAATTTCCAAGGTGATTAGGGACATGGATTAAATACTGCCTTCCTTGTGAAATGTCTGCCTGGTGGAGTCATCATTACTGGATCTAAAAATAAGTCCTGAGTCATGGGCAAAAAGTGAATTTTTTTCCTGATGAACATAACAAATGCTGATATTTCATGAGATCAAAAAAATGTATTTAAAGCTAAAAGTCTGCTTCAAAAAAGAGTGTAAATGTTTGATGCATTATTGCCATGCCTTATAGATATCAACAAAACTGGAATTGTGATGAGATGAGCAAAACAAATGCTAACATTTCATAAGAAAATCATCAAAACATGAAGTGAATATTCAGCCACGTATAAACATAAGTGTGAAAACAAATAATTTGAAACAGTGTTTACGAAAGAAATATTTTTGCTTTTCCAATTGTTTGATAACTGAAAGAATTTTTGTAAGAACCTACATTAAACAGATTCAAACATGGGCTGTAAAGAGAACTCTCAAAATAAGACCTGAAAACTAAACACTATGATGACCAGCCAGCAATGTTTACCTACTCCATTTCGTCTCCGCACATCTACAGTTTCCTTCTGTACTACTGAAATCTACCCACTACTGTTGCAGTCAGATCTCAACAAATAATATGCACCACAGTGAGTGAAGAGAGAATCACGTAAGGTCACATAAAGATGTTTCTATATTAGTGGTATATTTTTATGTAAGTACACACGGGTCAGGGAAAGAAGGACAGGTATCCAAAAGCGTTGCTGAAACAATACATGAATGCTTTTTTTGTACACTTTTAAAGAAATAAGGGTGGATCAAAAGATTGGACATGACAGCAAGTCTAAAATGTTACCCCTTCAGTTTGGTATTTACCACCTATACAGTTACAATATATAAACTTCGGTCATAATGAACTCAAAGGGACCACTAATTTTAGTTTGTTATATCTGTCGTTCGTTACACGCATTTCGACCATCAGACATCTTGCATCAAGTCATGTGACAACATCATGTTACTCGATAAATAACTAAAGTGTGCACTGTACGTGTACTATTTCTATTCATCATACATAACATAAATAAAAACATGGTTTAGTGATTTTGCTTTGAACAATCGTTGAAAGATGGATTTCCTCACTCTAGTCTTCGCATTTTATACACAGAATATATCCACTTCAAAGGCTATAGCCTAATCACTGTGTCACTATTGTTAATTGAGGATGTAAATGAGGACAAGGTGTCAGTACTTAAGAGTAAATCAATTGCCTTCATTTGTTTATTGCCACTTTGAACAGCAGCGCTTGGTCGCGGATGTTTTAATAGGCAGATTGGTGACACGTGAGGAGCTCAGCACAGGGATTAATAGATCATAATACACTTATCGTTGACAGAGTACAGACAGGACCACAAGGTGAGTTCACTATATCCTTTATTTCATTATGAGCATGTTCGTAATCATCCATCAGTCTTATATGATAAAATATACACCAAATGGCCGGGACCAAATGAACAATTCGTTATATCCGTCAGATCGTTATAAGCGTTTCATTATTAACATAGTTTACTGTATGAAGTAACTGTAAATAAAAGTAACATTTTTAATGCCTTTGATTACATAAAGACGAGATGGCAGTTCACCTACAGCAAGTGTCAGAAACATGATTCAGCCTGACTGGGAGAAATATGTACATTACCAGGAAAATAAACATACAGGCGTTATCAAAACATTCAGTCCCTGTTGTGGGAGGCCGCCCCCAGCTGCTAGACATCCCCATTCCTCTCCCAGAGATGTCATGCATTGATAGCATTGTCAAGATATATCTTCAAAGATGTGAAATTGAAAGTAGTTCATCAAAAACATGGAGTACTTAATTCAAAATAAGGGACACATTGTTCAACATAGATCTTTCCAAATTTCTTAAGTGATAAGTTCTTTAAGGTGGTGAAAACTTCACAAATTGGCTGCCGTTAAGGAAAATACCATTATAACACTGTAAGGAAATACAAATTAGACCATGCCCTACACGAGTGAAGCAAGTCTTCAACATCTATCAAGCCTGACTACTTATCTCCCACCTAAACATGGACAGGTGTTTGGATCATCAGAAGATTCCAGCAAACCTTAGCCCCAGGAGGTTACCATCAAGCCCCAGATAACTATCACATCACCGCATCACCTGCCAGAATGCACTACCCTAGCAAGACTTGCCAACATTAGAGGTAATCTTGTGAAGATGCAAGATTTATTTTGAAATGAACATCTTCAAGTCTGTTTTTCCACCATACTGACATGTAGGTCGTCTTTGAACGATGATTAACCTAAGAGCTTTGATATTCAATGTCATAGCAGGCCTAACTACAAAGACACTACTATCGATAAGATAGCCTTTTAAGGTGCAGGACTTATTTTTAAACAAAACATCAACAAAATGTAATCACATACATGGAATGCATAACAC